GTGTTTCTTTATTTTTAACAAGCAATTTTTTTATAACAATTTCAAAATTTTTAAACACGCAGGTGTACCAATAGCAAAATCAACTTTTTTTTTTCAAATGGTAACCACTATATTTTAATGGATTCTGGTAAAGCTTTTTTTCTGAACATTTTGGTAGTCGAATCGTCAATTTTGGTTCGCTAGTGTATTAACTATGGTCCTCCAAAGATTGGTAAAATATGCATTAATACTTTTAATTAAAAGAATGGGTATAGGTTTAATTTACAAGCGCTAAACAATTTTTTCTTATAACTACCATTTGATACACTACAATAATTGAATCGGGAATCTAATGACACCCTCAAAAAAAAAAAATAAATAACAAACATAATAATTGTTTGTAAACATACTTCATTTTTTTATCTTAACATACGATCATAAAAATCAATATTATTATTTTAATTTATTTTTATAATCGTAATTAATTACTTTACATTTTTTTCATCACAGTTACTTTTCTTACAATATCACAAATTTGAATTCTTAATTAGGTAGGTGGCTAAGGTAATAATGGTAAATATTTGATTGTTGACATTAATATGTGCAACGAAAAAGTGCAATGTTTTGTGGAGCTCTTTTCGTAGTGGTATAAAGTATAAACTTGATATTTTAACCATAGCTTCCCTATAATGGTATCGCATCCAAAGTATGAACTTAGGAGTTGTAATTCATCCCTTTCCATCCTTTTTAGTTTTGGATATTATAATAATATTGATTTTTATGATCGTATGTTAAAATAAAAATGATGAAGTATGTTTACAAACTATTATGTTTGTTATTTTTTTTTTTTTTTGAGGGTGTCATTAGATTACCGATTCAATTATTGTAGTGTATCAAATGGTAGTTATAAGAAAAAATTGTTTAGCGCTTGTAAATTAAACCTATACCCATTATTTTAATTAAAAGTATTAATGCATATTTTACTAATCTTTGGAGGACCATAGTTAATAAACTAGAGAACCAAAATTGACGATTCGACTACCAAAATGTTCAGAAAAAAAAGCTTTACCAGAATCCATTAAAAAATAAAGTGGTTACCATTTGAAAAAAAAAAAGTTGATTTTGCTATTGGTACACCTGCGTGTTTAAAAAATTTGAAATTGTTATAAAAAAATTGCTTGTTAAAAATAAAGAAACACGTCTTTTTTCGTTTTAACGAAATTCCATATCATCGTTCCGTAATCGTCAAAAAACCCCGCGTACAATGACATAAGATACACCCTGTATAATATAACATAGATAGATAACTTTATACATAAATAATTAAAATTTTGTTTTTTTTAAAACCTCTCTATTACGAAAGCTCTCTATTACGAAAAAAATCTCTTGGTCCCTTCAGATTCGTTATAAAAAGTTTTCACTGTACTAAAAAAACAAAATCAACAATATTAACAATAACAGTTCACATTTTTATTTTATTGTATTGTAATTAAATTTAAATTTAACTTAATTTTACCAATGAGATTTTGAAGAAAAAAACTTTGATTACTTCTTCTTCTGTGATTTTTTGGGCGCACACTAGTTGCCTCCCGAAGTCAGAAAGGTCAATAATTTTTATACGAATTGCCTCCCGACTATATACTATTTGCCTCCCGACGTACCCTAAATTTTATCGTAAACGAAAAAGGTCTAGTACTAGTAACCTTCTAATAGCCAGGTAATAAATATACAAGTGGTTCTAAACATTTTCAAACATACCATGTATGATGTATCAAAATAAGTTTGTAATTTCAAAATCGTAATTTATGACTTTTGTTATGTTTGATATTTAAACTTACCTAAAACGAGAAATTAAGTTCATGTTTTAGATAAGATAGATATTATTTACGAAAATGAACAATATTCATTACACAATGATATAGAAAGCGGAATTGTTTTATTTTCTACTAAAACAAATTTGGAATTCCTAGTAAAAATCTATACGTTTTATGTAGATGGAACATTTCAATATTGCACCAAATAGTTCAGTCAATTATTTACTATTCATGGATTAATAAATAACTATTACATACCTCATGCTTTTTTTTTGTTAAAAGATAAAAGTGAACAAACATATACTGGTATGTTTCGTGTATTAAATACGTTGTGCTTAAAAATAGATAGTCATTTTAAGCCAAGCATAATTTATATTGATTTTGAAAAAGCCATACACAATTCTATAACATGCATATGGCTAAATATTTCTATAAGAGGATGTCGATTTCATCTTCGCCAAGCTTGGTGGCGTAAAATTCAGTCACTTGGATTAGCTTCGAATTACTGTAATGACGATTCGATTAGAGAATACTTAACGTGCATATTTGGCCTATCATTTTAAAACCCAGCGGAAGTCGGAGATATGTTTTCAATGGAACTAGCAGCCATACAGCCTTTAGATGATAAAATAACTCAATTTTCAGACTATTTCGTAGATACATATATACATATATATCAGAGGATTCAATGTTTCCATCTCATATATGGGCAGAAAAAAGTTCAAGCATTCAGAGCACAACCAATGCATGCGAATCTTTCCATATCAAATTTAATAGCTATTTTGAGTCGCCGCATCCTAATATATATAAATTTATCGAAGTTTTAAAACTAATTCAAACTGAGACTGTAATTTTAATACAAAGTTCTAATAAGCCTAACTACATGGTAGATTACAAATTAGAAACAAAATAATTTTCATTGATACTCAAATAAAAAAGCTGAATGAAAAAAAAATATCAAATTTTGAGTACCTGCAAATATTGGCTAAAAAATATAAGCGAAAGCAATGTTATAAATAACTTTTTGTATTTTACCTATTTTGTTTGACTTATTGACTACCTAATTGATTTATTATTTTTATAGTTATGTAATTTGTATATTCATGTAGTATTATTATACCTAGTGTTGTTAAAATACGGTATATTATTTTATTTTTGTATTATACGTGTATTAAACTTTGTATAATATTGTTGTATTTAAGTAGGGTATAATAATTTTTTGTATTATACCGTATTACCTATGCCGTATTATACACATTTTATACGGTATAAAATCCTGTATTAAAATATATATTATACATTTATACAATTTAAACTTGGTTACTCAACTATTGTCCATTTCCCTTTGAAAATTGAATCTTATTAATACAAATAAGAAAAATAATATTAATTAAATTCAAAATTAATAACAATGTCAACAAGTAAAGTAATAATTAAAAATGTTAATAAACATAAATAACTATTTTGGTTTTTTTTCTAAATAATAACTAAAATAAATGTTTAATAAATTAAAAAGTTTTATACAGATTTTATACCATTGTATAAAATAATTCTATACAGCTTGTATAATACCAGTATAATACGATATTATACGTTTGTATTATACAAATTTACATCACTACGTATAATATAATAAATTATGTAAAAACATTGATACGGCCGATGGGGGGAGGAATGGCCCACTGCCCCCTTAGCTACGCCACTGCTAATGGGTATATCCTCACGGGAAACCCTGCATACATTACACTTGTAAAGTAATTTAATTAAGAATTTATAGATAGGTACAGACGTACAGTACTACTGTAATTAATATCAAATATGTATAAAATGTATTTAATTATTAATTCAATTGTGCTATTTAGTATTTTGTCGCAAACGTCATACAATTATGCTCGTAAAACAACAACTAAAAGTCTAAAAATACGGAACGCATATTTGACGCACAAATATTAAGTTGTGCGAGGAAACGTCCAATCGGAGCACACACGATCGCAATGATTCACACACGGCACATCATCGACTTGTGCGTGTGTGTCGCGCCTTTACATTATCTTCATGTTTTCATATATTTATTATAATATATTCTGTTAAGCTGCGGGTTCTTATACTGATTACAGTGAGTCATTGACTTAAGGGGATGCTACAGTGACATTTGTTGTCTTCGTCTTACAAGTGCGTAACTTAATACATTTTACGCTAAGCAGAATACTTTTATCTCCATTAGTTTAAAAATTAGAGCGAATTGACCTCTTATACAATTTAAATGTAAGATTATTATCTAGACAATGATATAGGCTTTTTATTATATTTTAATTTTAAAGCAAGTTATGAGTATTTTAAGATATACAAACAGTTTACAGTTTTAAAATACACATTACTTGCTTTAAAATTAAAATATAATAAAAAGTCTATGTCATTGTCTATACTCCGGCCCACGAGAGATCAGTACCGTCACGCGCATGCAGACGGTACGGAGCCCAATTTTCCCCACTATGTGCCGGAATGCCGCAATTGTCGCAATTGCCGACCGACACCAACAGTCGCCAAAACGCTGTGGTTGGTTGAGTGGGAGATGCGCGAAATCGGACGAGTTTTGGTCGAATACCGGTACTGATCTCTCGTGTGCCGGAGTATAAATAATAGTCTTACCTTTAAATTTTATAAGAGCTCAATTCGCTCTAATTTTTAAACTAACAGGGATAAATGTGTTCTGCTGAGCATAAAAGTTGCTATGCTACGCACTTGTAAGACAGAGGCAACAAATGTCACTGTAACGTCCCCTTAACTTCAAATGCTATAGTGCCTACCTGAGAAAGATTTGATTTTTTTTTACATAGCTGCATAATATTATATTGAATTAACCCTCAAGTTAAAATTAATTTTAACAAAATACATCAGCAGTACTTATAGCACAATTTGTATCTAATTTATTATGTGTACACACAAATAGTTTATAAATTATTATTTAGCTTATGTCACTTTAAGTTTATCCAATAAATATAATATCTGAAAATCATTAATTAAATTATTAAATTCAGCATCACCTAATAAAAAGTAGTTGTTGTCACACTTAAATGTATAATTATTTAGTTTGGAAAACTCCTAAAAAAATTAATTTCCCCTATGGTAAACTAGGTACTGAGTTAATATTTTATTCCTTCCAATATATTATTATGTCTACACAAATCAGCTAAATTTTTTTTTTAGAATCCTGTATTTAACTGTACCAGCATTGTTTCTATCATTTTTCATTGCTCAGGTCTATACTATATTAGAGGTTAGTTTATTGATACATAAATATAAATTATAATATATGACATATGTTTGAAATGACTAATGCTATTTTGAATTCTAGTTATTATGGACATTCAGTATTGTTTTGGAATCAGTAGCAATTGTACCGCAATTGCTTATGTTGTCAAGAACTAGCAAAGACAAATCTATTATTTCACACTATTTATTTGCTATGGGCTCTTACAAAGCATTGTATATACTTAATTGGATTTACCGTTATAAAGAAAGCAATTTCTACGACCCGATTGTAGTTGTTGCTGGAATTGTGGAAACCATCATCACATTTTGTGGTTACTTGTCAATCTTCATAGAACCTAAAGTATATATAGTATTAATAATATACCTACTATTTAATATTTTTTTTTCAAGATGATTGTGTTTTATTTTTAACTAAACAACTAACAACGCATTATTATTGCCTATCAATTAAAATCTTCATTAATTTAATTTTTATAAATATCTAAATAATGATTACCATCTTTACATACATTATTTATTTTGTTTTATTGTTGTATAGAACCAATAATTTTCTAATATCTTGTCTACATCCAATACCTACCTAATAATTATTAATTAGAAAGTTAAAAAGTTGCTTGTATAAAATAAATTTTTTTTATTTTACTTAGTAGTCTGGTATTTGCTACACATGTACGGTAAACATAGTACTTAAGTGATACATTCATCACATAAGTGTGAAGGTACCTAAAATTGTTGTAGTATTAATTTTAGTTTGTATAGTTATTGCCAACTCAATGGGCCAAAATAATTATATCATTATAAATATTTTATTTTGAACATTTTTTATTAGGTACCGCTGTCCGCTGTAAAATTGATTTTATTTTAACAATAATATTAAAGGGAAGTGATCCCCGCATGTGTTGTTTCCGTCTTACAAATGCATAAAAGAAAATTTTACGCTCAGCAAAATACATGTAGCTTTGTTAGTTTAAAAATTAGAGTATAAAAATTAGCATATAAAATCTAATTGTGGGATTATTATCTAGGGCTTTTTATTATATTTTAATTTTAAAGCGAGTTTATGAGTATTTTAAAATAGTAAATTGTTTGTACATATTAAAATACGGGGCTACACGTGTTCTGTTGAGCGAACAATTTGCTATGTTACACATTTGTAAGACAGACAATACATGCGGGTATCACATCCTCTTAATGGATTAATGCATAAAATAATAAAATATAAAATCCACGTAAAGTTTTAAGTAATGTTATAATATGTTAATGAATTCTAAATTTTATCTGTTAAATCTTTAAAGTTTGAATGACATGTTCTTATTATTTCTTGAATTTTCTTAAGATATAATAATAATAATTATTTACTTAGAATATTTCATTGACATTGACATAATAAGGTCAATATTTACCTTATGTCTATTATGATTAAATATACTTAACTTTTTTAACTAAAATGGGTTTCATAAAATTTTAATTTTGTCATTATTATATATATTTTTTTTTTATTAGGCTAAAAGTGGACCAATCCGAGTAGTTGTAACAGATGCTGCTGGTGAACTTGCCTACTCTTTGATATTCAAGATTGCTAATGGCGAAGTATTTGGAACTCAACAAGTAATTTTACATCTTATAGACGAACCTTCTGCAATGGAAGTTCTTGAAGGTGTATGCATGGAAATTGATGATCTAGCTTTACCTTTAGTCAAAGGTTTGATAAGTTTGAATATATTATACATGAATACCTATTGAAGTAGAAATTTGCTTATTATACATTTTTTTTTAATGATATACCTATAGGTTATGTGAAAACAAGCAAGTTAGAAGTAGCATTTAAAAATGTAGATGCTGCTTTTTTGTTGGGTACAATGCCAAATAGTGAAAGTAAAGAAAAAAAAGACTTTCTGTCATCTAATGTAAAGACATTCAAATTATTAGGTGAAGCTTTAGACAAATTTGCAAGTAAAGATGTTAAAGTTTTGGTGGTTGCAAATCCAGCAAACACTAATGCCTTAATATGCTCTTTAAATGCTCCTACCATACCCAAGGAGAACTTTACTGCTATGACCAGACTTGATCAAAACCGGTATATAATTTGTGTAATTATTACATAAATTAATTATCATACAATTTTTGATGTTAAATAAACACTGCTCTATTGCAGAGCCCAATCTGCTATTGCTATATATCTTGGACTATGTGTGAGCAATATAAAAAATGTTACGATTTGGGGTAATCAATCATCAACTCATTTCCCAGATGTATTCAATGCATCAGTGCAATCATGTGATAGCTCAACAAGTGTATATGATGCCATAAAGAATACAAAATGGCTTGAAGATGATTTTATTAAGGTAAACAATCATATTGAATTTGGGTAAATGTGTATTAATTATTTAATTTAAACAAATATTTTAATTATGATATTAGTAATAAATAACAGTTACATATTTTATTACTGAGGCTCAAAAGCTAAAATACACAAAAATGTTAAATATACAAAAAATATATTGAAATGTACTAATTATTATTTATAAACAATGTTGTCTTATTAGTTCATTATTAAATCAATTGTTTTATAAAATAAATAAAAAAAAACATCTTGTTGAAACTCGAAGCTTATTGGTGATGTTGATTATGGAACTGAAAAAATATAATCGGTTAATAGTATTAATAAAAAGATGTTTTCAATATTTTTGAAATTGTATACAAATAGATACAAGTCACAATATAAAATTATAAAAACATTAATTTCTTTTAGAAAACATTAAATATGCATAAATAATATGAACTATTTGCACAAAAATAAAGAAATGTGAATTTCTTTTTAACATTGATAAAATATGCCAAATATGCATTGTATAGTTTTGTTATTTAAATTTTACATTTGTTACTAGCTTGGTCTGCTATGGATAGGGGTCATTGGGAGAATATATAAAAATATGCAACTCTTACAACTTTTAAGCCCTATTATAACCTTGAAAATATGTATTAACTCCTTTAAAATAATTGGTTTTAATAAAAATAAAATAATTTCATTGCAATGGTTAGGTTACAAATTCAAAAAGGTTAAATTACAAAATCTCACAATTTAAACAACTTAATTAATTATAATTAATTTAATTTTAGATTATTCAAAGTAGGGAAGCAGCTGTCATTCAAGCTAGAAAAAAGTTGTCTGCTATGTCTGCTGCAAAAGCAGCTGTTGATCACATGCATGACTGGTGGTTTGGAACTGCTGATGGGACCTGGGTTTCAATGGGAATTATATCTGATGGTTCATATGGTGTGCCAAAAGATTTGTTTTACTCTATGCCAGTAATGATTTATAAAAAACAATGGACAATTGTGCAGGTACAGCATTATGAAGAAATGTTTTATTTTATTTTTAGAATTGAATAGCTTATTAATTGTAGGCTTTTTAAATTTAAATTTTGGATATAATTAACCATACTATTTTTTAAGGGTCTGAAAATAACTAGTTTTGCAAAGAACAAATTAGATTTGGCTGCTAAAGAACTGATCTATGAAAAAGAAGAGGCTTTGGAAGTTTGCAATCCCTGTTGTGTGCTACTTTTGCCAGACTGTAAAACCTGAATACTATTTTGGACACAGTTTTCCGCATTGAATAATATGCATAAACGTGTTTTGGATTATTTTTATGTTTTTAGAAATGCATTTATTCGATCAAAGAAAATTCGGTCTTAAAATAATGTATCATATTATAATTCTGGGGCTTGGGTCAAAAGGGCCAATCTCACTCTTAATTTTATTTTATTTTATATAAACAAAAAGGGGCCAATGTTCACATATGCCCCATAGATTTTGTAATTTTCATAACAATCATTAGTGCTAGATATGAGAAGGCAAATGTCATGAAAATTACAAAATCTTAGTAGAATAAAATAAAATTAAAAGTGAGACCTTTTCGACCCAAGCCCTAGAATTATTCCTAAGCTAACCATTTAGGATAAAATAATAAAATACCAATAAATGCCCAAGCATAATAAATACAATGTATACCTATGCTGGCATGGTTTGGTGTTCTTTTTTAAATACTCATAATTACTACTTTTCAAATTTAGTGAATGACCAAGTGGCGCAACCAATCAAAATAACATTGGCATTCTCACTCCAATTTTACAATCAGAATTTTCTTTTTTTAATAAATTTTGAAGTTGAAAAACTTTTTCGCACAATATGTAAATTGGTATCTTTTATAGAATTTGGTGGACACATATGGTGTGTAGTGGCAGAAATAAAACACTATAGTCCAAAATGTTTAAAAAAAAAACACTTTTTGACATCAGCTTTAATTTGTATTATATTTAGTTGGGTTTAAAGTAACTTATATAAATATAGGTATGCATAATCTTAATTAATTAAATATCAACCATCAGTATCAAAATAAAATTGATTTTGTGTACCAGGTACTGGCTACTAATATAGTACTACCTATAATTTTTTTTTTTTTATTAAGTATCCCGTATTTTTATTTTATTTCTTTGGGCACTGTAGCTGCTCTAAATATTCATTTTGACGTCAGTAGGTATAACATCTGAATTATAAATACTTTACCTAGCTAATTCAAAACGTGGTTTAGATTTTATATTATGAATTATTTTGCTTTTTTTTTGTAATTACAAAAACACTAATAACAAGTATATTATGTATTTTATCAAGTTATAAAATATTATTAAACATTGATTTATATTTTCATGAAAAATGTATTGTATGTATATAGGTGTCAGATTGTTTTCTTAGTCAGCGGTTAAAATGTCTATAATATGTTCCATCGAGTATGGACCCCCCTCCCCCTTGAAAAAATTCTGGTTGCGCCACTGAAATGACTACTAAAGAAATTAAACAATACCTATTAGTAATCTTATTATTTTTTTTTTTTAATTATTTATTGTTTCTAACATTTAGTATAAGAAATTTATTACAAAAAATAATACATATATATTATATATATTTATAAAGAAAGGTGCGGTTATTACGATTTATTCAGTTTTTTGCCTGGTGAATGTTGTGGGCCAGTCTGGAACATAATTTTCATTTATATAATTTTCCCTTGTTTGTGAAAGTATGTTCAAATTGTTTGTGCTTCCAAATATTGATCCTGTCGAAAAAGAACCACAATATTATGATCAATTGTTTAAACAATGTTTATTTAGGTACTTACCTCCAAGCCAAGCAATATAATTTTCATAAGCAGGTGCTACATGAAATTTGAATTTTGTGATTTTTAAATTGTTATACTTGGAACACTTAAGTTTTTCTACAAGTTCTTCTTTTAATCTTGACATGAAACCTTTAGCCATCACTGTGCCACCTATAAGAACAATGTTTTCTGCAAGCTTTAATCGGATATCCACATTACTCTGTAATTAAAAATAATTACATTATACAAGGCAAACTTGTAATAATATAAAATATAGGTAGTTGACAAACATTAACTATAGTTTCAAGAATCATAGTAGTGATAGACATTTCATCAATGTTTTCTTCAAATAATACATCATGGACTGTTTCCCTAACATCTCCGGATATTGTTATGGAACTTTCTCCATTTATATGATATTCAACATCAGTAGTTTTAGGCTCAACACTTTGACCTGTGGCTAGAATTTTGCTACGTTTTAATGTAGTCACAAAACAGCATCTAGCTGAATAAAAATTGCATCAAATAGATAATAGATTCATACAAAATATTATAAAATTAATACAAAATATATTTATCCAGTACCTTTAATATCTTCAGCAATACTGTCAATCGATTCATCAGATAATTGACTTATATCAATACGAGTTTTGATTTGATTTTCTACCGATTGTCCTGCCAATGGCATTGCTTGCCATAGACGTAGAACAGGTACTCCTTCACATACTGGTATAAGGATAACTTCTTTGTATCCTACATCGAGAACTAGACCGGTAGAAATTCCAAGCGTAAACAAAGAAGCACAATGTGATGGGACAAAACATAGAGATGTGACCTGCATCAAAATACCATATTGTATCATATCATTCTAATATAAATTATAGTACCTTACTTCATAAGTAATAAACAATACTTTAGCAAGTATTTCTTTAAATATTGTTGGTGATAATAATGACTCAACAATTATTACTTTTTTATCTTTAGGTGCCACTAGCGCATATCTGGAAAATACAAATAATTTTTTTTTGCTGCTGGTTTAGAATAATTACACGTCGTTAAAAAATTTAAATATATTTTACTTGTAAAATAACATATGTATGAAGTTTGTTAAAGCTAACATGAGTGTTTGTTCATCTTTACATTTATATATGTCAGGAATAAATGTACCATCTATTTCACAACAAGTAGGTATAATACATCTAGGAGAATGTTCGGTAGCAAATCCAAATCTGAAAAATGGCAAAATTTATGCAATTAGTACTTAACTAGGTGAGGTGAAGTATGAATACAACAAACAGGAGTGGGATACAAACGTATGTTAAAAATTTCAGTTACAAAAATATGAGTTTAATTATTATTTACTTATTTATCGGCCTGGCGAGTTAACGAGTAAAACTCAGTGGGCCGTTCAAGTCATGAGGGACCGCTGACTGAAAATATGTTAAGAGTTAAAAGTTGAAGCAATGAAGACTATAAAATAATAAAACTATGCTCTGATTAAGAAAGTACCCAGTTTGTAAGTGGGCTGCTAAAGTACGGAAGCTTGGTGGGCAGAATTTGTCCAATTCGGCCTTCTCAAAGCCTCATAGACATAAGTACAGTACAGATTCAGATAACACATTTAAATACAAAGTAAAAAGAGAAAAAACTAACAAGCATAAGTTAAGATAAAACTAATGTAATTTTTGAATAAGAGATGGCTAAAAATCTTAAAAATACTTGTATTCGACAAATTAATACGAGTGCGACAAGCGCAATCAAGAGGGGCTGTGTATCTATAGTTACAAGTAAGTAGAATAGAATTTTGTTTTATAAGTTTGAGTGTTTCTTGAGTAAAAAGAAGTAAAGGCAATGATAATTTACAAAGTAAATCTGGAGCATTAATATCGTTATCTAATAATTTATAAATAAATGTTATCAAACTAAACTTGTCTTTCAGTTAGACTACATGTCACCGTAACGAAATTAACTAATTTTTAAGAATTTGTTTTGTACTTCATTTGATCAATTAATATTGGATACTTTATGGGGTAACCATATAATAGTAGAGTATTCAAGCACCGAACCAAGAAGTGACATATAAAGGGTGTTTAATGCATAAATGGTACAGAGACCAATAGTGTTACGATGAAAGAAATGTTGTGTTTATTAAAATAATATGTCCATCATGTCAGTGTATCATAGATACAGAGATTCAGATTGAATTCCGAATTTAGTGTTCACACTCACTTTGTGTACTTGGTTCCAATATCGATAACAATACATTGTTTTTCTGGCAAAAAGTCCGATTCGATTTTCATCGTTTTAACGAACACGACAGTTTTATTCTAATTACAATATGTAGTTGTATCGCATAGACTGAATAGGTCTTTGAAGTACTTGAATGCTGTAAGAATGTAAGATGTAACTTCAACGTTCAAAGTTTTAATAGTTTTGCCCACAGAATACTATATTATACTGGTATGAGGTGTCTACGGACTATGTCGAGTATGGCTGTGAATATTGAAACATTTTATTCGTGATAGTAACATTATCGTTCTGTTATCACATTGATTTTATATTTTGCTTATAACATTTTTCATGATAGCACGGCCGCTGCGAGACAGTGTGGTCTGCAAGCGAGATTTACGCGAAAATTGCATCGTGTAGCAGGCTGCAGTGGACCGTATGCCGGCACGCAGGCAATTACGGTGCGCCGGCGCGTGACGTCGCTCGTACCAACAACAATAATAATAATAATATGATGATGATACACATTATACATATATGTGTTAGCCGTTCAGTGGGTACATACATTCTGCAGTATCAATTAACTATGAAAAAAAACGCCGGCCACGTCATTCCACCATAGCGACCGTGTTATCTCGTCGCGTATTGCTTTTTCAGTACAAATGTTTCCTCTACTATTATTATTATTATAATACTCGTCGACAGTTTTAGAGAGGCTTTCGGTACCGCTTTATTGCGACTGTTGTCTGCGTTCGATCAAAAGATATCTTATCTTTTGCTTCCCACCCATTTCCGCGACCGACCGTTTTTTACACGTCCAAAATTCGCGTCTTCTGAGACGGCGTCTGAAACCACCCGGCCCGGTCACGTCAACGACGAGAGGTAGTGAACAACACACCGCACACGCCTGCAAAGATTCGTCGCCGTTTTAGTTTTTCGAGACGGTGCCCACCGCCGTCAGCCAGTAACCGAGATGAACATATTCAGACTTTGCGGTGACCTGTCACATCTGCTGGCCATCCTGCTGTTGCTCGTAAAGATATGGAAGACGCGTTCTTGCGCCGGTAAATCTACGTGATAATGTTATTGATCGATACTTAGGCACTGGTCGCTCGTCCACTGTAACCGATTGGAGATCTGTCAAAAATAAAATACATCCTTGCACCAACTACATGGCGTTAAAATATCCGAGTGCCGATATTATTTTCACACCGGTTGTCGTTATCTAACAAATTTTTAGAAGTAGGATAATATGCATGTAATGCCTCTCCGACTAGTGGCGTGAGCGAGTCTGGGTGTGCAGCATCTGGGTCCGGAGACTATGCCCGAGTTAGCAGCCGCCAATGACCGACATAAATGGTACCTGTACTAGGTACCTATAAGATCCGAGGGATGATACAAATGAGTTTTGCTTATTGTCTTCGATAGTCTTATTACAAACAAAAAATATATAATATAATATATTAACATTAACATAATATCTGCATCAGTTTTTACACCGAATGTCCATTTAACGGTAATTTCATACCTGCCTACTTGTTGAAATTAATATTGACATTCAATTATCTACCTACAATCTATATCTCTTTGTTTTTATTTCTATTTCATTTGGGTAGATAACATATATTTTACACATTTTAGACCTACCTAATATGGTTCTGTTTTTAAATTTTTTTTAATATAGTAATTTAATTATAAGTTATGTCCATATTATTATTTATTATAGATAAGTACATCAAACATTAGGTATGTCCAAAATGTATGACTATGAAGGATAAAGTTTATCAAACCTCCTTATATTGTAATTTTTGATTAGAAATAATTTATGTGCATTATTTTAAATGGTTTGAACACGTATTAAATCTCTGCTTCGATTATCTTGATTATCTTCTGTTTAATTTCAAGACATCAAAACCATTAAATGTTACGACCAGTGTCTAAGTACCTACTTATCTATTTATTTTTATTTTTAAAATATAACATTTTACTAGTGAATTTAAATTACAATAAATTTAACCCAAATTATTAATATATTTGTTTTTATTACAGGTATTTCGGGAAAATCTCAAATTCTCTTTGCAATTGTTTATACTACAAGATATCTAGATTTATTCACAAGTTTTGTATCTGTATATAACAGTTTTATGAAAATAGTGTTCCTATCAGCGTCTTATGGAACATTATATTTAATGTTCTACAAATTTAAGCCAACATACGACCATAACCACGATAGCTTTAGGTATTTAATATGGTTAATTTAAATATGCAAATTATTTTTGTATATAATATATCTAAAATACCTATATACTTTTTTTTTTCAGAATTTTGTACTTAATCATACCATCGTTGGTGCTTTCATTTGTCATTGTTCATGTTTACACTGTGATGGAGGTTAGTATTTAAATATAATTAATATACTCTGTGCATACAAATAACATTATTTTTAATTTTAGATTTTATGGACATACAGTATTTATTTGGAAGCAGTAGCAATTATGCCACAATTATTTATGGTATCTAGAACCGGCGAAGCTGAGACTATTACTTCTCACTATTTGTTTGCACTAGGTTCGTACAGAGCACTGTATATATTGAATTGGATTTACCGTTATTATACAGAAGATTTTCTTGATATGATTGTAATTATTGCTGGAATTGTGCAAACCATCTTATATTGTGACTTCTTTTATCTCTATATAACCAAAGGTAAATAATATGTAAATTAATATGTATTCAGATTTATTATTTATATAAATCTAAATATGATGTTATATAGGTATTTATTTTTAATTATTATTGTTTTATTTTTCAGTTTTAAAAGGTAAACGACTGTCCTTACCTGTCTAAACATGGAAGGAAATCCTCAGACCAAAGTGTCAGTATAAAACAGACTATTTACACATTATGTCATGTCATATGATTTTTTTTTGTACATAAATAAATAGCATACATTTTTTTTTGAGATGTTACAGTAGGTCATTGGATACCTTATAAATACGAAATATATTTTATTTTAGTCCTAAACTTAAATTATTTGGGATAGTAATTATACCAACATATTATCGATTATGATAACAATTTTTCCGTTTCATTTTTTATAGCACAATATTTTCAATATACAAGTATATGTATATACTCTAAATATATATATACGTATATTTATAACATTTGATTTATATTTTAAAGATCTTTATTAAAAGAAAAAAAGGAAATCCACATTTTATTATTTATTTAAATTATTAATGTTTTTGTGTAAATCAAATGAGGTATGTTTTCAATTTTTTTTATTGTATTAACATAATTTTGTTTTATTTATTAAACAAATTCCTCTTTCATTTATAATTATTATTATGTTATTAAAATCATAAAGTTTTATTAAATATATGTATTTCCTCGAACTGTTAATATTTGTTAACCTAAGTTACTGAATTTATTAAAATGAATTTTGAAATATTTGTAAATATGTTATTTTTGTAGACTTCAAAATATGTTTTATATAAATACGGTAAAAATATGACAATTCAAAATATAAATATTGAAATATTTAATATTCTGTACATTATCAATGATTACTATACTTTATGCTGCAGCAACAAAATTCAACATTTTGAAAAAATTAACTTTTGGGTAGAAGTTTTACTATACATAGGCTAATTTATAATAAAAATGGTTATAAATTATTTGTGAGCATTTTAGTATCAAAATTGATAATATGTTTACTTGTAAGAAAATAGTAAATTAGTGAACACACATTACTAGTAATTACTAATTTATTAGTTTTCTTATGACTCCCAATCATAGGATTGATAATTATAAAATATTGTAAAATGTTTATTGTGTTTAAAGAAAAAAGAAAATACTTGAACATCCATTATATTACTTTATTAATTAATTACAATTTAAAAATAAAAAAAGATTTATACCTATGAATTAGTTTGTTTATGATTGTAGAACTATGATAAACTTTAAAGATGATCTTAACTGGACTACTAATATGATTCACGGTTATTACTGTATACCTTCACCGGGTAATTTAAGGGGATGGAAACATTTTGTGTTAACAATATTCAATTAGCATAGGTCTCCTTATTTAATTTAAAAAAAAAATTAATTTTCATTTTGTCTGAAACAGTCCATTTACCACAGTTTATTTCCGAAAATTCTTTTTCTAAATATGTTTTGGAACAAGTCTGTAAGTATTAGTTCACGAACACTGTACACTTTCAAACTTCAGCGTATTCAGGCACACTGTAATTCAGCGTAATAATTATATACAAAAACCGGTTTTATTCCTTATTTTCTGGTTTCCGTTAAGGTCAATGTCCTGCGTAAAAACAACTGTATAAATACGTATGACGTAGGTACGGAAATATAAAGTAGTATTTTTACGACCATAGAGGATTATTGAATTTGATATTACGGTAAATAGTTATCATGGGTTGTAACGTCTTTAAATTATTGATAGGTAAATATTTAAAAACTATATGATATATGACGTATAGTAAAATTATATCCTCCCCGAAAGTTGCGATTTTTATCCTAATCAAGGGGGGTAGGGGGGTTAAAACCGAAATGTTTTAATAATGATAAATATTTTATGTAAGTAGATCGAACTATTTTATGCTCTATGCGCCAAAACGACAAACTATCAATATTATGCTCTTAGGACTTGGAAAGTAAATAATCCATAAAACCATGATAATAATATTATATAAGCTAACATATTTTGCTATTTAAGTCTATGCATGAAGCTACAAAATACCACTGCTAAAATCCTATTGGGGGGGGGGTGGGCGATCCACCCATTTCCCACCACTTATAGCCATATAAGTTACCGCTATCCGGTAACGGTAACCATTAGTCATTACAATGAAATCAGGTACCTACTCGTACCGGTGAGCGCGTGGGCCATCCCACGTCACCTCTCAAAGCGGCGGCGGATCTCCGGCCATTGTCTTTTTCCAAGTCTTACGACACATATATTTAAAAACGGTCCCATTATTATTAACCTAGATGTTAGGCCTAACCTCTGCACCCCCCCCTTAAATCCACCACTGCCTCAAAGAGAGGAAGCGCGCAGGGAACATCTGTCGCAGTCAAAGATTTTGTTCTCCGGACAAAACTATGGTGACGACTAACAACAGTACAGCCTGCTCAACGCAAAGAGACCGCTCCCAGGGTCCCTATCCTCACAACGCACCGAAGTACCAGTCTTTCAAAGCTGCACTGTTAGTTTTGCCCCACTCTGTATAATAATTTAGTATAACGTACCTACTACTAACTAAGATATAGACATTACGTAGTTATTATAAATTATAAAAATATGTACATTGGCAGTCATATTATACAGGGGGGGGGGATTTAAAATTTCAGCTATCTAGTTTTTATTTTATGATACTATAATATAATATAATATTATTGACTAATTCCATTAACTAAATACATTAATTATGTGCCAATGTGTCAGTTAAAAAAATGATACCTAGCTCGTGGAGGTGGAAATCAGGGGCTCCGGGGCGGATTTGAAACTTGTTTAAGGGAGGCGATAGGGATATATTGGAGAGACAAATAAGGTACAAAGAAGACTTGACCGTAATTAAAAATTGGATTTGAAGTTCATGGGGGGAGGAAGGGGCGATCACCACGGTCCACGGCGCATCCTTATAAAAGCGACCAGTAGGATTTTTCAATGGGGGGGGGGGCTTGAAGTTACAATTTTATTTTTGTCACGCCTGCACCGAAAGTTTGGTTTTCGACCACGGTTGAAGCGTTCGAAAGCGTCCTTTTTCCGTCCAGCGGGCGGTAAACTGGAAATCCCCAAAGTGCCGGGCGGAAAAGAGGAAATCCCCAAAAGTGCCGGGCGGAAAAGAGGAAATCCCCAAAAGTGCCGGCCGCCGGGCGCGTATCCCCTGCACAACCAGAAAGTAAAATGTATACCTACCACGGTTCTTACAAAACATAAACTTTTGGTTACATCTTAAATGTATAGTATAACCTCCTTGCATGACGCATAGATCCCTGCATAACCTTTTCCATGAACGCAGGGGCGTGACAAAAAATAGTATGTGTGGCTCGCGCGGGAAGGCCATTTCAGTCTTGTGCGAAATGCGGCACTCGCCTACGGCTCGTGCCGCACACGACGCCCGCGACTGAAATGGCTCACTTCCCGCCCTTGCCACACAATATACTATTTTATTTTGTCCAGTCCAACAATTTCAGACGCTTATTTGAGGTATTTTAAAATGTTTGTAACTCTACAACTTTTCTGGTAGAATCAATGCTCTGATCATAAACTTCGATGCCCGATGTATGTTTTTGGAAGCAAATTGGATCTAGTTGGTACTTTTAGGAGGGCCATATTTGAAAATGCTCAGTGATTTTTAAAATAATTTTAGAAAAAAAATAAAATTTGTTAAAATTGTTTGGTATAACCAGCTTGGTTATACATGGTGGGGCACTATAACGGCCGATTTTCTAAGACAAATTATAAAATAAAAAAACGAATAAAAATTAATTATTATTTATTATAATGAAGTACATAACTTGCTATTTATTTTTTAAAAATGATGTCTTCAAGATGATGGCCATCTCTTCTAGCCTATTTCGTATATTTCCCGCAGCAGTGACGTTTTCAGGTGTGCGAATGGTTTTTTGTCGTACAGGCTTCTTTTTTAATGCTGCGAACTCGTTTCTTCAAAGTTGGTTATCCATATTTGAATAGCCTTAGCCGATGGTACCGAATCATGGCGTTTAAGATTAAAATGAAAACGAAATGCACGCTGTGCGGCTACGTAACTGTCCTTTTTGTAAAACAATTTCATCGCATAAGCACGTTGTTTACCACTCCACTGTTCCATGTTTACTAAATGACATGTTGTCTTAGAACTATTAATAATATTATTGAGAATTCTTGTCTTAATTACTACTCAGAAAATCTATTTTCAAAATCGGCCGTTTCAGTGCCCCACTGTACCTTCTTCACTTGGATTGTATTTGATTAATTAAAAATTATTTTTTCTATAAATGTCAATAAAAAATTATTTATCCGGTCAAAAAGCTTAACAATGTAATACGTACGTTTTTATTATAGCTAAAATATTAACATAGGCATCATTGTTATTTTTTATAAGCATTTAAAGTTCAAATTTCGTCAAAACCACAGTTAATTTGTAATTCAAAACTTATAAAATATTATATGTGTATATAGCTAAGACTAGACAATTTAATACAAGGTCTTTCATACAAGTAGTTCATACTCTTACCGAAGAATTAGAGATAATTTTAGGAAAATTGGTGAGCAAATACAATGTTTTTTCAAAAATGAATTGATCATGGTAAGACATATATGAAATTTACGTTTTGCTTACTATAATAGTTGACAGTTGAAACTTGAAAAATATATTTTTTTTAAGTTATAATAATACAGGCCATGGGCGGGGGGGGGCTTTAGCACGTTAACCCCCCTCCCCCCCTTTGCGTACGCCACTGAATGCGACACAGGTATAGGCAGAATTACCACGATGGTCGAATACACACATATATACCCAACCCCGTTATTACGCCACTGTCCGCTGAATGACTACATACATTTTAACTTCATATACTCCCAAGTCCCTAGTTGAATATTTTTCTAGGTATTATAAATGTTGATACATAATAATCAAATATAAAAAGAGTAGGTGGGCAGTTAATTGGTTATGCCACTTAATAAGACGTGACAATTATGCATATTTAATGTTTGATTAGTGGAGTGGCGTAACAGACGCAAGGGGTACCCCTAAAATGTTGTTGTACCTACACACTACACAGGTATAAATTTACTAAAAAAATGTACTAATCACTAACCTTGGTTAAACTCATATCCTGAACAGTTGCTATGCTATGGAGTATTTTTGCTGATCTTTCACAGATGGTTTAGAGGACCCAATTTGTCGTTGTAATTTTTGAATATCTACTTCATAGCTGTGATTCACATATTTTTCAATTATGTGCCTTTTTTCCTATCGTTTTCAAAAATGTTTCACACATTTTTACACTAAATCGCCACTTTGTTTCACACGAAGACAACTCACGTTTTGAAAATGTATAAGTTTGGTAGATTATAACATCGTTTTCTTTCTGGCTAAATCCACAGTATACCTATGTATAATATCTACGTTTCACTGTAGCACTCAAACGGCTTACTAAAATATTACTTATACCTACATAAAGTCGTTGCATACGCGTAAAAGCATTGAAAACGCTAATATCATAACGATTATAGCGATAAATGTTCGGCTAATCCACCAATAAACGTACAACAGAATTTTTAAATTACTCATAATAGGTAGGTAACGATGAATTTAAGGTCACTTAGATACTATAGGCGAAATTTACTATACCCATTTTCGACCCCGAAAAATTCCGAGATCAGTTTACTATACCTATTGGCTATTGTAGAAACCAAAAAATCCAGGGCGCAATTTACTATAGTATTTTTACTACCTGCTTAATGTGGGCGAAATTTACAAGCGCCCGTATTCTATAACCAGCTGATCTAAATTTGAAATACTTTACTATGTAATTATAACTAGGTACCTATCTATACTTGATCGATACTCGATTATTATAAATAGAAATTCTTAGAAAAATATTCTACTTCGGAATATAAACTAAAATTGTACTTAATATGTTATTGTTCAAAATAGTTAAAAATTAAAAAATAATCACAATAAAAATTGTCAAATAGTAAATGTTGTTTTATGGGTAAGACGTATAAGTACTTGTCATACGTTTTCGTCGACACTGCATATTATAATAGGTATACAATTTAAACGGTTAGCTGATAAAACTGAGCTCTGAAACTAGACAGTGGTTTCTACTGATATTATTGAACTGTATTCTTGCACTGTATTCGCGTCAAACAATGCAATTTGAAATTAAACAAACATTTTAATATTGCAATTGTAAATTATAATTCATCGCTATGAAATATAATAAATACATCTAAGATTCAAGATATTACTATCTTTTTTTTTTATTCAGTTCCATTTCTAATCTTGCATTAGCGCTGGATATTTGTTTTAGTTTTTCATTAATATTGTCTATTTGCGACTTTGTTTTTAATTCATCGCGTTTCGAATTAGTTTCTATAGTTTCGGCTTCTTTATTTAATTCATCGATTTCTTTATCATACAAATTCTAAAATCCAAATAGGTATATTAAATTAAAAAAATAAATACATAAATAATCATAGGTGCAGTCAGAGGGGGCTAAGGGGGTATTAACTATTAGCACATCCAATGTTAAAATTAACACCCTCAAAAATTGTTGGTAATTATGTATCAACATTTCAGATCAGTCGTGTAAACATGATTTCTGAAGGGGGGGGTCAAAAAAAGAACGACATAGCTAAATGGGAGGAGAAGACTGTTTACTAAGGTAATACAAAGACAATGAGGGGATTTGAGTCCCACGCCCCCCTTGTCTACGCTACTGTTTCAGATTACAAAAAAAACCTGCTTGTCATCAGATATCAGATTATCTGAGTAGGTAGGTATAATGAATAAAACAATTTTATTCGACAATTGAATTTTTTTCGAGTTCAAATAATTATTTCCCAGTTTATTATTTCTATCTTCTATACGAAACCCGGTCGGCGGTCATATTATGAAGTTCAGCAGCGACTCGATGCTATGAGTTATGACAATAGTATTGCGGAGTATCTATTTACTAATATTATTAAAAACTTCAGAACAGCACTACAGCCCTGTGCCAATTTCTAATTTGGACAAATTACGAATCTCCACTAGGTATTCCAGGGCTTGAAATCGATTTTAAATATCGATAATAATCGTCAAAAAACATCTATAAGAAATCAAAAGAGATATCAAAATCAAATATTTATTTTAATGATATCCAACATTTATATTGAAATCGAAAATAAATTAAATCTATTATTTACATAAAATATATAAATTTAAAATTTAAAAAAAAATTTAATATAAAATTGAACAATAGTCTATAATGTGTTGATGTGTAGATAATAATAAATATCTAATATTTCGCTTTCATAGGCCGAGCAAATGATGACAGACTTCTAGTATATAGTTAGAAATAGAAATTAAAATGGTAAAAATGTAAAATTAATATTTATTTTATAATTGAAAAAAAGAAAAATTATGTTCAAAATCTAATTAAAAACCCTAACACAACTAAATCGATAATGTGCAACAGTAAAACAACTCATTGTAAAACAAATATTCTTTTCTGTGCTCAAAATCTAAAAGGTTAATGAGGATGTATCTCCCATATTTTCCGTGAGTAGGCTCTTTAGGGGGGAGCAACTTTTTCAATTCGGTTTAGGGGGCTCCAATTTTTTTTTTGCAACGTCACGTAAAATGTCTAAATGCGGCACTGACTACCAATTACTTCTGACAAGCGTTCACTGTTCAATATTAAATTACTATGACTTATAAAACATGATTGCACAAAAAGACCATTAACTGTTTCATAATTATAAATGTCCATAAAATGCAGCTTTAACAGCCTCAGTTTTTGACATTTTATGTCTTTGCTTTGGCACATAGAATCGAAAAACGTTACGTTATTTATTATATTTATTTATAAATGGTGGCCATGGCCCATGGGTTTTAAAACTATTATAATAATAATTATTGGTTGCTTTGAAATCAGTGTATTAGAAATCGAAAAACGTTACATTACATAAAGCTTTACGTTACGAAAAAAAAAAAAAAAATGAAAAATATCATTTTTCTCATCCGAGATTCAAACTATACGCGCTTATCAAACAATAGTTAGGCGAGACTGCATTAATATTATAATATTACAATATTACCTAGGTATGTACTACATATGATAGCAAGGACAACAAAGACATAAAATATGGTACTTCATTGTAGACTCGTATGCAATATGATTAAGTTCAAAATATGGGTTCAAATAGGACTTAGATGTTTAAAAATGTTATAAGCATTTAAAGTTAAAATGTTGACAACATTCATCAGATTTTGAATAAATAAATTTAATCTATAAAAACATTTTTTGACTACTTCTATAAAAATAAAAAAAACACTCTATTAATGCCGAATAGAGTTTATTAACACTTTTCTTAAGTTTGGTTACACGTCTGTCTGTGATCAAATCTTGCGCGCTCGATTTGAGGCACTTTTTGAAGATGAAAAATTCTGAAAATTTGTATAGACCTTGGTCTTGGATGACAATACAATAATCCGTAAAAAAATTTTTTTTAACTAAAAAGTAGAAAATAAAAAATTAAAAAATTATTTTTTAAAAACACACTTTTCTAAAAAAACAAAAAAATACTGAAAAATTTAAAAGTGTGTGGCGCTCTTAAACTTGACATATTATACCACACACTTTTAAATTTTTCAGTATTTTTTTGTTTTTTTAGAAAAGTGTGTTTTTATTTCTACTATAATCTGTAATATACACGTATTATATTATTTGTTTTAATATAGGTAATAACAATATACATTGGCGCAAATAGGTGGGGGCTTTAGTCTCCCCATATTTTTGCCAAGTCCCCCAGTTCAAAAGTCAGTAATTAGTACCGAGCATTTATAATTTATAGAAAATATTATAGGAGGGGCTTTAGTCCCCCCAAAATAATTTGTCTATTTGCCCCTATGACAATATATATAATATATAATGTCTTTATTTTTTTGAGTTTAGAGAATTTGAATTACAAGTACCTATTTGAGTAAAATTAGGTACTTATGTATAATAAATAGGTAATAATAAAATCATTAAATATGACATGTGAGAAAACAATATTTTTTAGAAGTTAGGTTAGGCCTTATTAGGTGTCTTTGACTGTTTTTCATTTTTACTAGCAGGTAAGGGTCTCAATCTAGAAATGTTCTCATAGGTCCCTTATTATCAAGTTGAGCCACTGTTTATCTAAAATGTTTATATTAAAATTGCGCCTATGTCAAAAATATCCAATTGCATTAGAATATTTTAAACCGCATAGATATACCTACATCAAAAGAAAAACGGTAAATTACAATTACTTATAATTTAATATTGTAAAAGGTAGTTGAACCAAATAAAAAACAACATGGCACAACCCAGGACTAAAAAGAAAAGAAGAAACCATACTAAATCGTTTATGAATAGGGCATACATTAATCACGCACAGGCATCTCATGGAAAAAAACGATCCTCCCATATGTGAAATGTGTGGAGTGGTCTACACAGTCAAACACATTATCACTGAATGTCAAAAATACGAAGACACGAGGAAAAAAACACCAAATATCACAGCAAATCGGAGAAGCACTCGGACCTGACCCTCAATCAATCACCAAAATCCTACAATTTATTAAAGAAATTCAGCTATATAACCTAATTTAAGCCATATCATAAGTCCACATACATTTGTAAAATAATTTAAGTTAATGTCAAACTAATGGCCATAGAAGCCGATGTTTTATAGATCAATAAAAAAAAAAAAAATATATAAAATAACATACCATAGAGCTTGTAAGTTCTAATTCTTCATTTTCTAACTGTTCTAAACTTCCATAAATATTTTTATGAACTAGATTTTAAATAAAAAATGTTAATAGATTTATTATTTGTATAAAAATATAAGTAGGTATTAGATAAGCATTTTTACAATTCTACACTTATTGTGAAGACAGATGAGCAATAATACGGTTATGTACAGTCGTATAAACGTATTTCGGACCTATTAATTACCAAGGCTGGGCATTATCTTAACTAGTTACTTTTGGCTTTTTATTAACTTAACTGTTAAGTGTTAACTTACTAAATTTCTTTTTTAATTATTGTGAAATTAACGACTTACCTAATTTTACATTTCAAGAAGTAATAGTAAAGTTAATTAATTAATTTATTTTTTTTATTATAATATTTCACTATTTCAGTCTATTTCGTTTTCATGTCAAAAATATTTACAGTGAGTTGTTTAATGTAAAAAATGTATATCATTCATATCTAACTAATATGGAAATACTGTATAAGCTATAAAGTATAAACACCATAGGTAGTCTATAAATTAGTTTTGGATTGGAAAAAAATTAAGTACTCTAGCGTTGTATAAACAAATTAACTTTTTTTTAACTTAATAAAAAGTTAAATTAACTTTTAACTTTTTGTTATTGGTGCATATTAATACTTAACTTAACTGAGTTAAAAAGATCATTAACTTGCCCAGCCTTGCTAATTACTACACCTAATACATAATAAAGTTTTTGAACATCAACTATTATTTTTCAACTGAGTAGGTACCTATTTATATAATTCAAGTTAATTTACCATTGATAGCATTTTCTATAGATACATTTATGTCCGCAAACTGTAGCATAAATGTCTTGTATGTTTTTATGTTATTTTTATAAGACGATATTACATTTTTTGACGCAATAATGTCATTGGATTTTTTTTTAACTATTGTTTCAGTTATAGATTTTTTTCTTTTAAATTCATCCATGATTATTTCTTTACGCTTTGTTAGTAATTCGTTATGTATATTCTGAATTGTTTTTAGCTTTTCATACAAGAACGTCACCTGTTATTTAATTAATCGTATTTATAGGTATGAATAAGAGCAATAATAAATAATATGAAATAGATTACGGATAAACTAAGCAGGCAGGTAGGTAGTCCAAATAATTGGTAAATATTAAACAATTCCAATGCGTGTTAAGCACGAACTAAGATATATCTTAGTTCGTGGTGTTAAGTATAATTCATTAATTCCACCTTTCGTGGTGCTTAGGATTTACCATTGATATCACCACGATATAGATATCAGAAAAAGAAGAAAAAGTTAAATTTAGGGTTAGCACTCCTGGAAATTCCCAAGATGGAATTTTTTTCAGTACCTAAATATTTTACGTTATTATAGACAACTATGTGCCCACGTCTCTTGATTTACTTATGTAGTAAGTAGTCTTGTACATATAGGTAGGTAATTATAACTATATTATTTTAATAATTTCAAAATGTATTATAGGTAAAATCTTACTATAATACTGGACAGTTATTCGTCATTACTCATTAGCCATTAGGTACTTACCCACAATATTTTTAGCAGAAAAAAAGTGTAATTTTGTTCAAAGGAGCTTTATATATGTACTATAGGTACTCAACGATTGATGAAACCTTAGTAGATTTTAGATTCTGAGAGGAATGAGGGAAAGTCTCACAAATATATTGTTAATTATTCATTGTTACACACTTGGAATGCCAAAACAATATAACTCATATGACATATTCCCTATACTTGGGCCACCGAGGGACCGCTACTGGGCGGAGTCCAAAACCCCGATCCCACGCATTCCCACCACTAAATCTGCCCGTACGCTGGCCGCCGTCGTTGCTACAACTATAGGGTAGAGTGGGGGAAATTTGGGTACGAAAACGCGGAGCTCGTTCATTTGGATGCACCAACGAGTAGCGCTCTCTCGGTGGCCCGAGTATAGTTTATAGCTCCCTTTTTCTTTTCTCTATTCGATAGTTAAAAGCTATAATATTTGGACATTGGCACTCTCTAGGCCTAGAGCCCTAAAATAGGGTGTCAGACTGAGATGTGAACTGAAAATTATAATCAGGATTTCGATATGTCCAAGAAACATAATTCGGTACTTATTGTAAATTCGTATTGCATCATCCTAACCTAGGTTATACGATAAAAATAATTTATAATAATAAACAACCATAAATATAATTTTGTTTTAATTTTACCTTACTCGAATGCTTATCATTACGTAACTCTTCTAGATACGGACCGCTCATCAGTTGAGTTGTGTAGTTTTGATAAGTTGTCTGGATTAACGAATCTAAGGACTGTAAATTGTCGTATAGCTTTTCGATCCTTTTAGTTGTTACGGACAATCGAATGTTAGACTTGTGAATTGTGTTTTCTAAATTACTGTATTGATAAAAATATACAATATTCCGATGATAAGTAATATAATAAAAAATCTAGTATTTTTGATAAAATAGCAGTTTAATACATAATTAAAATAAAATATTGAGATATTGATAAGGCTGTTAATTCAACTTAATCAGCTACCTAGTTATATATTATACAAATAATGTCATATAATACCTGCATAAAATAGTGCATTATAAATTAAAATTATTGGATAGTAGAATAAAAAAATAATCTAATTACGATTTTTATGAGCGCAACTACTTCCACGTTAACGTCATTCCATGCAGATGCGTAATTAGGTGGGGCGGTTAGGGGGGGGGGGCAGATCCCCACCAAAATTTTTATTACTGCTAACATTTTGATCAAAGTATTGATAATGTCCATTCATGTTTGCTAAGAACGTATATCCCCCCCAAACCAAATTACTAACTACACCACTAATGCAATACATAATGTATATTCCTACCCTTTGAATACACGTAATGATGACGTTTAAAATATTAAATATGTCTATATTGTTAAATTAAAAAAATTGGACATTCTTCGAATTGCCCTATCAATATAAATTTTGGCAATGCGAAAATTATAATTTTAAAAGTTTAATCTGGCCAGAATCCTGTGGTCATTGTGAATTCAATTATTATAATTTAGTATTTTCACATAAAAATGCAGTAAGTAACTATAATTTGAGCTATTATAGCAGAATACGAATACGAAATGCTGTATATACTATGAGGTGGCTGATACTTGATAGGAAGGAATCCAGTCATAAGTAGTTGAACTTTGGTTTCACGTTTATAGAATATTTTAGTTGTAAAACTATATTTTATAACAGTTCTACTACAACATGATCAGAGGATTTATTTCAAAATCTCAGAAATTATCATTAAAATTTGTTTTGGATACATCAAATATTTAAAAAAAATCGTCCGCTAAGTAACAATTTACAGAAAAAAGGGGTTTTCACTAGAAAAAAAATAAGTTTGAATCACCGCGGCACACTCTTTAAAGTTTAAATTATATAAAAAAGCTAAGTATAGGTATATAAAGATATGGTCATACACTTATAAAAAATTTAACGCATAAAATATACTTTAGTTTTAAAAATCAGAATTTGAATAAATTAATAATTGTTAAAGAAATAAATAGTTGCGAAGTGGTTGCAGCTCTGTTGTACAGTAGGTGTCTAGTAGTGGAGGTGTTAAATTTTAATTCATTGATACAAAAATCAGTGTATACGATTTTGAGTGAAGACAGTCTTCAGCCCAATAATACTAGGTAGGTATATTTTAATTGATATATGAATACAAAGTACGAGGAAACTTTAAATTTCCAAACTTTTTGACCAAGAGATAAATGTTTAGTCGACATTCATAAAAAAATTCAAAATGTCTATAAATAGCTCAAGAGTTAAAATATTTTGAAATTTGTTCATCATGTACAAAAAAATGATACAATATTTGATGAAATATCAAGTATCTACGGTTATTTGTTATTGAGTTGCAACTAGAAAAACAAAATGTTGAAAAACAAAGCTTTTTTATACTACTTTTCGTGTACTAATACACAAAAAAGAGCTCAGAATATAAAATGGTGTTATATAGTAGGTATTAGAAAATATTTTTCCATCATCAGATAATTTAAGCTTGATTAGCATTTAGTCTGGGGAGGCTGAACTCTGAAAATACATAGGTATTTAAAACTCAAGTAGGTACCTAACCCAATATTTCAATTTAAGACAAATAGGTGTATAATATTGTACAGCATACTTTACATATAATAATAACTTATTAATATTATACTTATACTTACTGAATAGTTTTTATATATCCAACTCCTAAATTATCACTCTTTTGATAACTGTTCATCAAGAGATTATTTATATTCTTCGATTCAAACAATTCGTCGTTTAATGTTTTGAGAACTTGTGTGTTTACATCCCGTTTTGCTCGAACATCATTAATAAAGAAACTCGTATTTTTTAAATCTACAATTTTTTTTCTATATTTTAATATTTAAACCTTTAATAATTAATAACAATCAATAAATTAAAATATAAGATAGGTAATTATAACTATTTAGTAATAATAATTACTTATTACTAACGGAAAATTAGTTATTATAACTAACGTTTCTATATTTTAATATTGAATAAACCTTTAATAACAATCAATAAATTAAAATATAAGATAGGTAATTATAACTATTTAGTAATATTTATTACTTATTACTAACGGAAAATTAGTTATTATAACAGTTATTACATTTAGCTATTAGTTTCGTACCCACCTAGCACAGCATTAACAATTAATAAAACATTATATATATCTACGACAAGCAACACGAATTAAAATTCAAATGATACAATTTATTGGTTTTACCTTTAAATCTGAAACGTAAATAATTTGATGTTGTTACCCCATAGTTTAACACTTAAACAAGAATAAATATAATCATTTGATGTTTTTACCTTATATTATATCTATATAATTATTTAAGTTTACATTATAGAGGCAATAATAAATCATAATTTTAACATAGGTACATAATTGTTAAGGGGCCTGCACGCGACCTGTTTTTTTGCTCAAAAACATGCCTTACAGGAAAAACTCTCACGCCTCGTAGATTGGTCCGATTTCCGTAATTTTTTTCTTGTTAGATAGAGGAAGACTTCTTACAGGGCGCATTGGACTTGGATTTTCAACATTATTTTTCTAAATCTTATGTTACAAGTTTGAATTTAATCAATTTTTACAACTTTTTAGTTTTTGTATTATTTTTTGTTTTTAGCGACGTAATCAAAAATCGAAGTCCAATGCGCCCTGTAAAAAATATTCCTCTATCTAACAAAAAAAAAATTACGGAAATCGGACCAATCTACGAGGTGTGAGAGTTTTTCCTGTAAACTGTGTTTTGATCGATATAATACACCCTATCAACCCCCCCTAAATAGGTATTGGGTAGTAGATTAGTGGAAAAGTCTTATAATTGAGGTGGCAACTAAAATATAAAATTTAATTTTCAAATTTTATAGAATTGCGGAAAATTTGAAAAATCGCGAGCAGGCCCCTTAATAATAATATTCTTGTACTTGATAATAATTATGTAACCTATTTTAAACAATTCTATACGATCATCGACTATACATATAGGTACCTACCTAGGTCGGAGTGTAGGACAGAGGGACTGGAACCTTTTGCATTTATTGGTACCGGTTCTGGTACTGGTTATCCAAAAAATAAAATAACTGTTCTGGTTCGGTTCGGTTCTGGTTTTTTGATAAAAAAAACCATAAAGGTATCGGTTCTAAATAATTTTGGTACCGGTTCCAGATAATTTATTTACCTACCGAAAAGTATAATAATTATCCTATAGATAAATAATATAATATCAATCCGGAATGAGGGTTTAATTAATAGTATGAGAAATATTAGAAAACTCATAATATTATACACATAGTTTATATGTACACAAAAGACAAAACAGTAATACCATTAAATTATAATGGTACGTAAATAAAATTATTTTATTTTTGAACCTAAAAGAACCTATTTAATTTAAAAATTCCTATTCGGTTCCTGTATTTTATAAAGGTTTCGGTTCCGGTTCCAGTTCTTAAAATTTTAAAGGCTACAGAACTGGTTCTTTTAGGTTCGGTTCCAGTCCCTGGACTGGCTGGACTAGGACCATCAGTATATAATATGTACCTATATGGTAAATCGTCGTATTACAATTGATACAATTTTATTTTTCAACCTTGTGTTTTAAAGTTAAGACATTTGTTTGCAAACATCATTAATTTTATATGTCATACTATATTTTAATTGTTGAGCCATAATAGTTTATGACTAAAGGCTAATAAAAATTAAAAAAGTTAAGACATTATTAAATAACAATTATAGGTAACGTACTTATACACATAAAATGCTTGATAATATAATATAATAATGGGGGTACACTTGTTGGGGGTTTATCCCCCTCACACAAATATTTGTGTGCCCTCTTAAACACTTTTAGTTTCTATAATCAAAATTATTATCTGGACTCTTAAACATTTAAAAATGGTGTTTTGGATTCTAATAATAAGGATGGTAATATCATATGGTAACAGTAATATAACTTTGGAAGACGAAAAAATGTGAATCAAAACCTGTTAATCCAATTGTTTATAAATTATGACAGGTAGCCAATAACTATAACAGCTATAAGTTCATAACCAAGTAAAAGAATGTTTCGACTTTTAGTGTCGAATAAAAACATAGGTAGTCAAGGATATGTACGTAAATGGATCAAAACTGGTTTTTGGAAATCGCTATATTACTAGGTATCTATCTATTATTTATGATGACAAATAAATATCAAATACGATTGACGAATAATTGAGGTAAATAACTAATCATTTTTACCTACCTATAGGAATCAGGCACGAAATTGGGCCTTTTTTTGGGGGGGGGTCAATCGCTCCCATCATAAATTAGCCTAACCTAATAGGAATAGTTTGTAAACTGTTAGAGGACTCGATACTCTCTTTATTAATATACTGATGATACTTAATGTATACCCAGTACCCACCCTTCCGTGTTATCTCAGTTCCGCCTATGACTCCTACTATATCTTCAATAATATGATTAAATATAATTATACTTTTTAGTGAAACATTATACTGAAAATCTCCATTGTATTTTGCATTTTTATATGCCAAATATTTTAGTAAAAACTTGAGTAATTAACAATTAAAACATGATTTATTTTGGTAACATTTATTAAATATAATAAAAGAGAAAAATCGTTTAAAATTAGTAAAAGCGTTTACAGTAACAGTTATTGAACAAATAATATTGTTAAGCCGCGTACACACTTGTAACATTTTCTGTTACGCCGTAACAGAGTACAAAATAGTTTGAAAAAAAAGATTGAATTCAAATTTTTGTACAACTGGTAGTTTGGTAAATAATATTTATAATATTTCTGTCTTATACAATATTATGTTATAATATGCATGTATAAATGAGCAATTGGCCGAAAGCGTTTTTGATTCCGTAATTTTAAATTGAACACTGTAGGTAAGGCAACCGTTGTATATATAGTGGGTATAATTTGTGGCCCAAGCACCATTTGTATTTATTATTACACGAGGCCCACCCCAGAAAACCCTAGACAACTGGGCTGACCTTTTTCCTTTATGTAAAGTTTTATTTGGAAGTATTGGAAGTGTCACTTTCATGACAACATTATTGGTATTATTCGGTAAATTAGATTAATAATATTTTTTAAATAATACATTGAATACATTTTTGGAGATTCCTCTGGTCGAATGGACATGAAAAATACAAGCTAGGTTTATAAATGTCGTACATAATATATTATAAATTATAATAGATTAAAATATGTTATATTATGTCTATTGAGTTATAGGCTCCGTAAATAATTATTGTACGGACGGCCCTTCGCTTGACTAATAATTATATTTATATTTTATACACGATAGTTTCTGAATTAGTTAAATTATAGGTAATCGGGTCGCATACTACAATATTATGAATTAAGACTGTTATAGGCGGGTGTTAGTTTAACTATAATAATATGGTGTATAATATATTTTTGGAAATCATACTTGCAATAATATCTTGTTCCATAAAATGTATATTGTTCATTAACGTTTTTATAGAGGTCAATGTATTGCAGTTCTAAATCAAATGTATATAAACGCGGTTAATATACATAAATAAATGTGTTAACTGTTTTGCATGAATATATATACAGGGTGTCCCGTGAGGATTTACCTATTAGCCGTAGAGGGGGACTCGCCGCCCGGACAAAAACCGGTTTTTTGCCGTTTTACTTATTAATTAAAAAAATTATTAAAAATCAGGAAATTAATGAAATTAAAATGTTGAAACGTCAATATTTTCAGAAAAATGAACCCTACAAAATGGCAATCTTCAATATTTTTTTAAATAATTAATTAAAAAAATAATTTTTTTAACTTTTTTACTAAAACATAAAAAAAAAATAAAAAATTAGTTATTTGTAGTGCTTACCTCTGTGAGTCTTAATAAGAAAACAGAATTACGATATCTCTATTATTTCAGGAGATATCGCAATGAGTAAATCCTCACGGGACACCCTGTATATATAGTATGTTTAAAAATTAACTATCATAAAAATGTTGTAGAATAACTGTAAACAAAATTGAAATTATTTAATTCCTACGTTTGTTTCAATAATAATATAAAATAGGCACCTACAAAATTTACACTACAGAGTACGTAAATACCTACCATACGTACACGACACAAGTATTTTGAAATATTTATAATATATTATATATTAATAGAAAGAACAACGTTTGGCAAGTATATTATACTCAAATATATTTTTTAAATAATTAGATGGTTCAAAAATTATCAAATATTTAATTGGAATTGAAAAATATTTGATAATTGTTGAACCATCTAATCATTTAAAAATATATTTGAGTATAATAAACTTTCCAAACGTTTCCTAATCTTCCTAATTTGTATTGTACATTTAAAGTTTAAACCAATCATTGTAAACCAAGGTTATAAAACTTATTACCTGTCGCCAATCGATAAGAAATGTTTCATTTGCATGATTATGAGTTATCAGAAAATCAGGCCAATTAACGTCGTATAATAAACTTCTGGAATGTAAAACCTTAAGTAGTTAAGTCAATCTTTTAATGTAAATAAAAAAAAATGTTAAAATCATCAGTATTAATAAATTGAGCAAAATAAATTGATAAACAAATAATTTTCATTTTATTTGTATGTCTAAAATTATATTAAGAAAATCACTCACTTGCCATGTGTAAATGAGTTTAATGGTTTCAATACGTTTGTTTGTGTAAGAGAATTGATCATTGTCTTTAGGTATCTATACATATTGAACAAATTAAATTCTGGGTTGCTCATATCCTTACCTAGATTTTGTTTCGTATATTCTCTGATACATGTGATTAATTGTAGTATTATTTACATATATTATTCATAATGTCATTACTATACTTTTCACTATTTTTAAAATCCAAAAGAATTTCTTTTGAAACTTCTTTAATACTTGTATCTAGTTCGTTAACACTTAATTTAAAATCAGAAACTCGGTTTTTTAATTGACTTTCAATTGATTTAATTTGTAGCAATAGTTCCATAATCTGGTGTTTAAATATTAAATTTGTATAAGTTGAAATAATATTAGTAAGTAATGAAAACTAGAATTTAGTTGAATAAAAATTTTGTACTAGTGGGCAGTGGGAACACAATTTATTATTATTATTGTATACTTCTACTTCTAATTTACAACTCACAATTAAATCTGTTTTCGTCGAATTTCATCGTCATTTTTGCCGTGGCCAAAAAATTGGTTTACCGTGTATTAAATATTAGTTAAATGCAAGCTAAATATGTAGTTATTGGAATAATAAAGAAAGCGTGGTTTTAGCCCACTGTTATACTCTTATATGGGACAGAGACACAGAATAAAGGGTGATTTAATTAACGTAGGACACTCATTGTTCAAAAAGTATTTATGTTTTTGAAAGTATATTTTTTTTACGGTTTCAAGTTGTTACAAAATAACGAGATAATTAAAAAATATTTTTTTAAAAATGTTTATCTGCTTAAATAATGATGAGTGTTCAATGATAAAAGAACATGAAATCTGCTCGAATTAACATTAATAATTAATTAATAGATTATTGAAACTTTTGGTGTACTTTTGTATTATTTATGGTGTTTTGCAAATGTAATTGATTTTGTACGTTTAATGATGTATTTAACGCATTATGAACTTTTAGAAACATAAGTCGAGCTTGTTCAATTTCTCCTTCGATTTTTCTTTGTGACAATCTATAATGAATTCAAGATTAAAAACCTGACAGAATGTATTATATATCAATGCAATAAAAACCTCTGAAATAAATGTGTTGTGTTTAATATATTTAATAATTTTTGTTTTGATTCAATCATTGCTTTGTTTTTTTTAAATTTTAGTTCAATTGATTTTACTGGTTGAGGGTTCAATGACTCTTTGTAATATATAAAACTATCTAAAAATTAATTTCCAACACTATAGAATATATTATACAAGCTAAAATTGATTTAATATTGTTAATTTTACTAGGTACCTGATATTTCTTTATCAGCTCCTAAATATTTGTACACTTTATCTGCTTTAATTTTTCGTTCTTTAATATCCAAAATCGATGTATGGCATTTTTCTAATAATCTAAGTTTATTTAACATATTAATATGCATACTTTTTTTGTGATCGAACTCAAAAGGTTGTTCTATAATTAAAAGATTAAAAATATAGAAAATATGATTTATAAATAATAATTGAAGAATATAATACTACCTACTTGTTAATATTGATGTAATATCATCAAAAAGTAAATTAACCTGAATCATTTTTATATTAAGCTACTTTTAATTATTTATTTAATTTAATATATAAATAGTTATATATATTTAAAATAATAAAGGCATAGTGGCATGGTAACGTTAATTGTATTGTGTGTTTTTAACCATAGGTTTGTTTGTACGAGTTAAGTTATAGGTAGATACAAATAGAGAGCCTATATATTATATAAAGGCTCTCTAGTTACAAAGTTATGAATCAGTGAGACAGTGTTTGATAATATACTAAAGGCACATTGTCTTACTTTCTACCCCAAATATTATATAATATCAGATTATATAAATGTATTTATTATTTACAAATTATAACTAGAAATTTGTACCTAATTCAGTTTAATATTAAAAGCCGGAAAAAGGTTAGAAAATTGAATTTTTCTAAAACGAGTGTAATAATAGTCCATTATGCAGTAAAAAACATGATCAAATTCAAGGTCATGCATTAAAAAAAATTTTTGTTTCATTTATCATTGATTAAAATATATATATAGACGTGTTTATAGTCAATAATATTAAATATGTTTGTTATATGATACATATTTCATCATACAAAGGCGACTAATTTTGTATACATATATAATAATATGAATACAATTGGAGTAATAATAGGGGAGGCTTACATCAGTTTTATTATAAAATAATTAATAATGATTGGTCAGGATCAGAATTGACCATCGATTGTTACTGCCTGCTATAAAAGGTAACTAAAAGGGTGGGAATTTTGAACTAGAATTCAACAGAAGAGAATCAGGACAAGAACAAGAAGAAGATGCGGTGAAGAAATGAAATACAGAGTTATAAAAGAAGAATTTCATTAGGTAAGCATCAAAAATCTAAAAAAGACGAAGAAAGCTGCAGAAATTGATCTAATTCAAGCAGAACATTTGAAAAAAATAACTCGAAGATATTAAAAATTACACTAATTTTAAAACCACTAAGAATATTATAATATATAGCACAGGTATCTAACCTAACCTAACCTAACCTTTACAGAGCATAATAAATTATACTTAGGTATACTCAAAAAAAAATTGTCTACGAAAATATAAATAGTATCGTACAATAATTGAATAAATAGTTTTCTGACACATGGGTCAAAAATACTAACAATGACAATTATATCCAGAAGAATATAAAGTAAGATCGAAGCTGCATCATTGGAAGATCAGTTTGTGTTTCCAAAGAATATGAGCACAAGGTAGGAAATATTGGCTTTAATAGTGTAACAATTGAGAAAATAATCGTAAAAGATAAGCCACTAGGTATATTATATTATGGCCACTAACAGCATACAGAGCTTTTGTGGATATAAAAAGCGTTTGAAAATGGCGGGTAATGTTTAAGACCAAACGATATGATCCGACGCTAAGAAGAAATCGATCATATTTGGTAGGTACCAAAATTATATTGATCATGATGTCGGGAGGGTCTTTCCATCTAAAAACACCTTATTAGATGGTTTCCAGACACCACCTGTTGTGTCTGGTACGGCTGACTACTCGTCATCGTGATATAGACCAGACATTTCGAACGACACGTGTCGCTCATGCCGCTGCTGACCACGTTGATGCTGCCTCTGTTCGTTGTGATTTTGCTGCTGAAGCTGGTGCGGAAAGCGTTGATTTTGACGCGGCTGGTATTCATAGTTATACTGTTCATGTTCGTGGTCATTCAGCTGCACGACACGGTTTTGATGTAGCCGACCACCGTAGTTATGCCGATTACGCAGGAGCTGAGAATGGTAACTATGAAGCGGCTGACGCAGGTCATACTGGACTACATCATGATAACGTTGTTGCTGTTGTTTTTGATTATTCATTTTATGTGTGGAGGTTGAAAGTGATATATTATTATCCTTTCTTTCTTGATCGTTAGGTTCATAATCGTTGTACTCACTATGCGTGCGGGATGATCTACGGGCCTTTGGCTTATACTCTGTAAACATAAAATGGACGAACGTAATGGACGAAAACCGTCCGTTACGACTAATAACGAACCTATAATGTAAGTAAGACCTTAGATTATTCATATACAATATTATGACGTGGTTGAATTATAAAGCGCGGACTAGCGAGGTTAGTAAAATATAAAAGTTTTCAAGATAACAACAAAAGTTTTTATTAAATTAACCAAAATCAGTGTTCGTAATAAATATAAGACTTAACGGTTAGGTTTGCACAGCTAAATAGTCATGAACTAGTATTGTTGAGGTTATTTACCCCACGTGAGAGCTAACATTTATGCTTAGCGACATATTTTGTGTTAATCGTATATATGAACAGTCGGGGACGAAATAATTACGGGGGGGATATGGATATGGGGAATAAATCCCCCATGTGCTGTATGTATGTATAGTTGTCTTATACAAACATTTAGAAATTATTTCGAAATGAAAAAGTTTTAAATGTTTAATACTTTAATTGTATTAGTATATTATTAGTTTAATATACTCAATAAGCAATTAGAATGGTGTCAAAATAAATTATTGATTTCGCTTTCATCGTTATCTTCAATATTTATATTTTATATTCACAATACACGGGGTTCCCCGCCACACACTAGGTATACCACACAATATAATGATGAATATTATTATTATATACAGAATAGGCATACATAGTGGATAATGGGTATAATGTTATAATGAAAATGTTACTTGGAGTAAGTTGGAGACACTATTTATTTTTATTTGTTATGCATTTGGAATGTACGTCGTACGAATACTACTAAAGCAAGCCGTCGCATAGTCAATTGTTATTTGTTTTTCGCAAATGCATGTACAAACTGTTCCATTACACGTGTACACACAACAGTTTTGTTTTTAATATTAAACTAAGTTAATTTCTACATATTGTAATAAAGAACTATATTGATATGTGATAAGATCAGAGTTAGGGGGTAGGGGGGAGGGAGAGTTTAGCCCTCTACGGGTGTGCCTTGAATATTAATTTTGAGTTGACTCCTAAAACTGCACACTTGCGATAAAGCACAATTTTTCAAATTATTGTATCTAAAAACCGCACACTTATGATTTTAACCTCAAACAGGTCTTTACTATAATACTTTATAATGTATCTATATGTATAGGTATAATTTATTATTTATTCAAACAAAAAAAGGTGTACAAGTGGGTGTCGCTCTGCTGTACAGTAGGTTACAAGTGGGTCACTGTATAATGGATGATATTAAATTTGAATTCAACGATATATTATCATTGTATAAGAAAAACAATTCTGAGCGGAGACGGTATGTCAGTCTAGGTATAAGACATATTATATACATATCTATGGTATTAAACAAAAAATTGACCTATAACAGGTACCTATAATAAATTCCAAATTAATCATATCACAATATCCACTAGGCACTTATAACGCGTTATACATCAACAAAAACCGTGATACTATCATAGATATATAATAGTACACTTTAGAAGTTTCAAGTACCCACGAATAATATTATTCAATCACAACAAAATAACTAAAATAGTTATTCTAGGTTTTTTAATATGTAATTTCGTCCAAATTTGAATTTAAAGTGTCTGTAAAAAATAACTGTGTTCATATATTTTGTAGATTTTTTGGTTACAGTATGAACTATTTATGAGAACCTTTGTTTTAAATTTGCAATCCTTAGCTATAAAAACTGAACATTTTATAATTTATTAATTACAATGATTGATAATTTTCGAGATTTTGATAAATTTTGTCAAAATTCGATCTTTAAATGCTTATAAAAAAAAATTGCGCCAATGTATTTTAAATATTTTTCAATTGCTAATGTAACAATATATCAGGAGCCTTGTATTAAATTTTTACACTTTTTGGCCCAACAGATAAAACTTTATTGATATTTTTAGAAAAAAAACTAAAAAAAAATGGAAAATGAAAATGTCCCTAAACAGTTCAAAATAAATCAAAATATTTTGAAAATGTTATCGTGTATAGAGAATGCAAATATAAACAACTAGTGAAAATTTCATGTATATACGTTCATTTGTTTTAGAGTTACACCAAAAACCAAAATCGATTTTTTGGAAAACTGATTTTGCGTAAATATTCCCGTTTTTCCTTAATTTTTATGTTGATTTTCCTGGCGCTTGTGAAAACTACTGGGAAATTTTTACTTTTGACCCCACAAAGTACTAACTAGATTCACTTTCCTATCAGAACTATTGAAGAAAATCCAAGCACTTTTACTGTCCTAAAACGTGATGACAGACACAAAAATAAAAAAAACACACATCATTGTAAAATCAATACATTCATCGTTTCACTCAGAATCTAAAATGTATATATATATATTCAAATATTAATAAGAAAGACTTAAACGTGTTAGTATGATTATTGTATAGTATCATAATCTTATAATCGTATATTCTTATCCGTTATTTACTTATTTAGCACTAAAAATAGTGTACTGTTTTAACCCTAAGTAAAAATTAAAGTATAAAATGTTAGGTTTTAGTCTATCAATCTTTTTTAGGTCAAAATCAAAAGTGTGTGTTTTTCGGTCGCAAACTAATTCTGATACCCCCCCTCCCCATACAAATGTTCAATTACACCTCTGTGCATAGTATTCAATTAAATAGAATATATTATACATTATTGTTAATTATTATATATTTATATCTGCCCTATAATGAATTGACCGGGGAATACGTTTATTCTTAATAGTCAATACCGATGTGTACAACAGTTGTAACTTACCTGACCGAGAGCAAACGTTCGCCTTTGGTATTATCGAGGATAAAACTATTTTCGGTGATCTTTTGATTGGTCTCGTTAATAGTTGCTGTTCGCTATAGTCCAGAATCTCGTGTGGATGTGTCGCTCGCCAATAAGACTCCAAGAACCCAGCGATGTGATCACAAGCATCTTCTATCTGACTTTCGTCTATTATTACGTCAAACATTTTTGACGGACATTGGGCCAACTTTTCAGACGCCACCATTTGAACATTGAGATATTGAGTTTGTGACTTACCTCGTGTTTTAATTAACCGATGTAGTATCTACATAAACAATAAAGAACAAATTTAAAATTAATTCAAAATCAATATGTTTACCAATATTATAAAATAATATTACTGTGTTATTGTTAAAGTTGATTGAATTTAGTAATTAATAGAATCACTGTATCATTATATTATATTCTGTGGCTCAATTTTGACACAGTTGCGTGCAATTTTCAAAGGGGTGGTTTCAGTGGGGTCAAAGTTTATGCTAAGATCAGACCACAGTCCGACCTCTTTCAGTCATATTTTATTTACAACATACCTAACTTTGTTATAAGTAAATAATGTATATTATAGTGTATTGTATTGTATCCTTTCCATAACCATGCCAATTTTCAATAGCATTGAGAGAATTTATAGAATCTGAATTTAATGAAGTACCTACTTAGATCATTATTCGTAGTTGGTGAGTTATGATAATTGATAGAATACTCATAGACATTATCACTGTTATTTGGTATTGGACTTAATGCACTTACATCATCCTAATCAGAATCGTTAATATATTTTAAACAGTCTATTGGCGCATATAAACGTTAATTATTTGATACAATATTTATTACGGATATAATTTTACCTAAATACTTAATAACAATAAAAAAAATTGTACATGCAATTTAAACGCCCCGTATAGCAACAGACCTCCCTCTTGCAAACCTCGAAAACCGCATTAAACAACTACCTCGTCTTTTTGTACTACTCGGTGACTTTAATAGCAGAAGTACTTTATGGAGATCCAACTACACAGATATGCGAGTAAAAACAGTTTTTACTATCGAAAAAATCTTAGAGAACGACTCAATAGTCCTCCTCAACGATGGACATTTTACAAGACATAATATTGAAACGCACAATAGTTTCTCCGGCATAGATTTATCAATTACATCCACATCATTCGGAGGATCGATAGATTGGATTGTCCAAACGTCATACAATAACAATGATCATTGGCCGATAACCTTAAAACTGTTCAAATCTCAACCAATAGAAATTCAACTAAAAAATGGCTTCTACGAAATTCCAACTGGTCCAATTTTTCTAACACTGTCGAACCTATTAGCCGCCGAACAATTTGAAACCCTTCTTCAACCAAATCTCTCAACAAATATAGACAATATGGTTGGAAAATTTTCAAGTATCATTATTGAATCCACAGAATGCACAATAGGTAAAAGCCAACCATACTTTAAAAAAAGGGTTCCCCGTAGAATGAAAATTGCGAATCGTGATAAAAAACTATAAAAAAGAACTAAACCACTTCAGGAAAACAAAACTACAATCAGACCATATGGAACTATAACAAACTCAGAGCAATTTAACGACAAACAATTAATACTAGTAAAACCACACCATGGAAAGGTTTCACATCTAGCATCAACTATACAATAACCACAAGTCTAATGTGGTCCAAGATCAAAAACATAAAAGGCAATAACCGAATCCAAACTGAAACAATAAATTAAAACAACAAAACTATAACAGAAAAAAATGAAATTGCAATCGCTCTCGGATCTTTCTTCTAATTGAACAACAGCAATGAAAACTATAATAAAGATTTCGTTACTCTAAAAACAATAATCGAAGCCAACTCCCCAGTCAAATTCGAAGCACACAACCCGGATAACCCAATAAACTTTCCTATTTCGATCATTGAACTTACATACCTTGCTGAGAAATAAAAGAAATAAAAGTACTGGCCCCGGCGGAATACCTTTTTCTTTTCTTTGAAACTTATCCAATCATCACTATATACGTTAATGTTCCACCTTAACTGATCTTCTCCGAGGCAGCAGCTAGCAACCTTTGTCCAACGCAGTTCATTATTTAAATCAGTTATCTCTCGCCATCCTACTTTCACATAATGGAATCTCATTCTACATGTAAGTGGTTGACATTGTACTTTACGAACTTTTTGGAAAAATACTTTATATTCTCAAGCAACGTTTCATAAACTTTCATTTAAAAATCACCTATGCACACTCCGCGCTGAAGAATGAAGATTATATTTGTGATTTGACGCAACCCCTTAACTGTTCCGATTTTGCTTAGATCCACTTCCTATTAATATAATATCCATTTTTCTAGCCATAGAACTTATGGTGTTACCCTATATTAAATAGCTCCTCAGTCCCAATCATTATAATATCATTCTTTGATTAATCTTTTCAATTTAGTTATCTAGTTTTTATTTTAATTCTCTTCTTCATATGTGGTTTAATAAATTATCAAAATAAAAAGCTATACTTGCTAAATAAGAAAATTAGAAAAATATAACTATATAAATATTATTCAACATAGAAAGTTATAGACAATAACGAGCATTTCATGGATCATACAGTTTTCTTATGTAATTTTAAAATACTATTTATTTAAAAACCGAGTTTAATATAAATTATTAAAATGGTTATGTTACTACTTACTACATACTTAGTGAATAATAATTGTTTTTTAAGCTAAGGAATACAGATGATTAAGTAGGTATGCTTAAAGCATGGTTACGTATGTTATAAAAGAACGAAACATTTTTATTATTATTGGTTTGTACTTATCTTTTAAATTTACGAATTTAAACATAAAAATAATACAAATAAAATGATTTACTACGCCTTGTAACCGGTGTCTGAATTACTGTTCTATACAAAATAATATGTGTAACGTAACTTTTTCGGCCTATTGTGATAATCTGTTATAATATAACCAACAACAGTTCTTTTGTGTACTTTTTATGAAGCAATTCATTCTAAAGGTTGAATTAAAAGACACTTACTTCCGGTTTGACTTTTATGTATACTATGGTTGGCGCCAAAGAAGTTTTTACTAATTGCGATGGATGATTGATGGTATCACAATCCAAAACAACAAGCTTAAAAAACAATGAAACATCTTGAAGAAGTATTACATATAATTTATTAAATTATTTTATTGACCATAAGAGCAATAATGTACCTACCTGTAATGTTTGAGCAAGTTCAAAAATACGTTCAACTTCTTCTTGAACATAAGCTAAATTGTTCGATCGCGAACCTGGTTTATTTCCAACGGTAGTTTTTTTCGACGGGTTATTATAGAGAGATTTTTTAGCCAAGGATATATCAGCTATTACGCGGGTGATAATGATTCTGAAAAAAATTTGAACGACAGTCAGAATCGTAAATTTTAATAGTATCTCTGAACACGTGGATTGTTTAAATGCATTAAATGTACCTACTAATAAGTAGTGGCGTGTGGCGTTTTGAGATTTTTTAAAGTTTAAGAGCAGTTTAAGTACTTTGAAGGGCATTATATTTTACTTTATTAGGTAATTTTCAAAATATTTCTACTTTCTAGTAATATTACGAAAAAAATAAAAATAATAATAAATAGGTAAATACACATATTGTTCTAAAACAACATAAGCTGGTAATCTGGTTTTTAAATAAAACTATTCACAAATTTATCTCAATTACAAAAGAAATCCAGAGAATTTTTATAGGACACTTTTCGAGTTTTTAGGCCACAAACGCATTTTTTGAAACTGAATTTTTCGATATTTTTAAGGGCATTTGAATCCTAGCCATATTATTAGTAATGAGTAATAAAGTAATAACTAATAACTGCTAATTATTTATTGCAATATAAACTAACAATTATAATATAATGTTACCTTCCTTCAAAATGGCGTTTCAAAAAGTTGAATATTACTTTTTGCATCATATCAGTTACTTCGTATCCCTTTAAAGATGGCCCGACTATTACAATTGGCCTCATCGAAGGAATAACGTCGTAAGGTGGCAGTGAAATATCTTGTTTCTTAAAGAATATATTTCGTTTACATTTTACAGTTGGAACAGTTAGAGCAGATGTACGAACACCTCCTGCAGTAGGACTACCATCTTAATAATTAAACAAAAATATAAAACAATCTCAAATTAAGAAATTATTTTAAATACCTATGTTTAAAAGACTTTATTAAAAATAATGATTTTAATACCTAACCCAAATAAACAACTTGGTCAAAATGGAGATAAAAAATATCTATAAGATTTAAATGTAAAATGTGTTTCGCCAATTTTATTTAATTTCAAGAGAAATTAATGTATTTATGTTAATCAATATAGGGGAACTTCATATATTTGATAAGGACGACATCATTGAGATCGCATGACAGTCTAGTACATATTCTTTTATATTTGTTTTATTTTTAGCTTGTTTAATAATTAATATACTATAATACTATATTATACTTTATAGTGTTTTACTGTCTTAGCGATTATAAGTCAGTAATCCAACAGTTGTTTTGAGAGTTGTATCACTTGTATCTATAAAAAGGTGGGCAAGTGGGTGTCGCTCTGCTGTACAGTAGGTTACAAGTGGGTCACTGTATAATGGATGGTATTAAATTTGAATTCAATGATATAATATCATTGTATAAGAAAAACGATTCTGAGCGGTGATGGTATGTCAGTCTATGTATAAGGCATATTATATACATATCTATGGTATTAAACAAAAAATTGACCTATAATAGGTACCTATAATAAATTCCAAATTAATCATATCACAATATCCATTAGATACTTATAACGCGTTATACATCAACAAAAACCGTGATACTATCATAGATATATAATAGTACACTTTAGAAGTTTCAAGTACCCACGAATAGTATTATTCAATCACAACAAAATAACTAAAATCGTAATTCTTGGTTTAAATATGAAATTTTGTCTAAATTTGAAATTAAAATGTCTGTAAAAAATAAGTGTGTTTATATATTTTTTAGATTTTTTGGTTACAGTATGAATTATTTAAGAGAATCTTTGTTTTAAATTTTCAACTCTTAGTTATAAAAACTGAACATTTTATAATTTTTTAATTCCAACGATTGATAATTTTCGAGATTTTGATAAATTTTGTCAAAATTCCAACTTTAAATGCTTATAAAAAAAAATCGTGCCTATGTATTTTTAATATTTTTCAACTGATATTGTAACAATATATCAGGAGCCTTGTATTAAATTTTTATACTTTTTGGCCCAACAGATAAAACTTTATTGATATTTATAGAAAAAAAAACTAAAAAAAATTGAAAGCTGTAAATGTCCATAAACAGCTCAAAAAGAGTCAAAATATTTTCAAAATTGTATGGTGTATATGAAATGCTAATATAAACATTCAGTGAAATTTTCATGTATCTACAGTTATTCGTTTTTGAATTACAACAAAATAAGGAAATCGCTACATGAGAAATCGAGTGAAAATCCAATGTTGTAAAAATTTGAATTTCAAACGCTCATAAAAATTTAATTTGACTGTCCGGTAGAGATTTTTTTATTGATAAAGGTAGATAATCTTATAAGGAATCTTGTGTTTCATTTTCAAATCTTAGATTTAAAAAGAAAAATTTTTACGAATTCTTAACTCAAAATAATTTGCTAATTTTCGTGATTTTTCCATATTTTGTCAATTTTTGAACTTTAAATGCTTATAAAAAAAAATTGTGACTAAGGATTTTTAATATTTTTCATCTGCCTTTGAAACAACATATTAGGAGCCTTCTATTAAATTTTCAAGCTTTCGCAACCAACAAATAAAATTTTATTGATATTTCTAGAAAAAAAACTAAAATAAAATGAAAAATGAAAATGTCCCTAAACAGTTCAAAATAAATCAAAATATTTTGAAAATGTTATCGTGTATAGAAAATGCAAATATAAACAACCAGTGAAAATGTCATGTATCTACGGTCATTTGTTTTAAAGTTACACCAATAACCAAATTCGATTTTTTGGAAAATCGATTTTGCGTAAAAATTCCCGTTTTTCCTTAATTTTTATGTTGTTTTTCCCGGCGCTTGTGAAAACTACTGGAAAATGTTTACTTTTGACCCCCCAAAGTACCAACTAGATTCACTTTCCTATCAGAAAAGGTACTATTGAAGAAAATCGAAGCACTTTTACTGTCCCAAAACGTGATGACAGACACAAAAATATAAATAAAAATATAAATAAAAATATAAATAAAAATATAAATAAAAATATAAAAATATAAAAACATACATCATTGTAAAACCAATACATTCATCGCTCCGCTCAGAATCTAAAAAAGTATAAAATATAAAGTCTATTGAATTTACAATTAATATGTTGTCCAGTGGCATAGTCAAGATTTCTAAAAGGAGAGGGAGATAAACAACCTTTTAAAATGTAAGCAATTTTTTTATTACCATTTTCTAAAAATTACCTATACCTACTAGCTAGTAAGAGTAGTACTCCATAGTCTATTCACATAGTCTGGGATCTGGACACAATTAATATATATCTGTGACTCCACTCCTCATACAGCATAATATTATATTAATTACATATCTAATATCATATTAACATAGGTACAGTTAAAATTTCAATAAATAAAATAAAATAACATACTATAGAGCGGGCATGGCTTCTTTGGCCCCCGGGCCACCTATCAACGACACGGATGTTGTCTACTCTTTTATGTAAATAATTAATACTTAATTGTTCACAGTATCTGCAATTTGTATCAATGGAAATTTCAATATCCATCAACTGCACCATACAACATTTTTTACTAGGGTATAGTCAAACCAAAATTAAATAAATAGAAAGCGAGAAACACATTGTCATTAAAAAAAAAATAACTCTATGCAAATTATTGATTAGGTATATTATTATAGAAGATTTATTGTCAACATGTATACTAAGAATAAGTATATTAATTGAAAATATTATAGGACTTAATAAATATTAAAGGTACATATCCAATAATAATAAAAAAAAAATATTAATGATAATAATATTTATTGCAACCAGTAACCACAAACAATTATAAAATATGTAATATAAGTTAAGCAGTAAATACAAAAATTGCAAACTCAACATATAAGCATTTAGTTGAGTTCATTAAAACAAAATAAAATAAAATAAAAACAAAATTAGGTAAACAAAAAGAAAAAATTTAAATAATATTACAATAATAAATAAAGATATATGCAGATATGGCCATTATACATGAAAATTCAATAAGTTAAAATACAAAGTGCATAATTTTTATACCTGATTAAAATTAGCAAAAGAAATAAAATATATTTACGTAATAGGTAATAGTACACCTTTATTATAGGGCTTTGATTACCAAAACTAGTATTTAATGTTATTAAATGGAACATTGAAGTTGTCATTATTTTTTAATATTGTACTCATAGGCATGCACAGACCTGAATTTCGGGGGGAACCTACAATATTGTTGGGCCCTCTTGACAATAGATATGCGTAGATATTATATTAATCAGTTATATATAATTACTAGTACTAAGCTATAATATATAATATATTCCCTTGGATCTAGTGCCGCATTTAGACATTTTGCACCCCAAAAAATGGGCGCCCTTTAAGCCCCGGTGAAAAAAAATTGCTCCGCACGGAAAATATGGGAGATAGATTAACCTTTTAGATTTTTAACACAGAAAAAAATATTTGTTTTCAATATATTGTGCTTTTTTTAAAAAAAATATTGTTTATTAATGGCTTGATCCCCTCTCCGCAAAGATACATTTGAATTTATGTCACTTAAACCTTTCTTATAATTCATCATATAAGTTGTTTTTTTTAACATATTTATGTAGGTACTTCATAAATAAATAAAATAAAATGTAAAACTATGCAAATTTATAATTAAAAAAATTTCAAACAGCATAATACTATATATATATATATAATACTATTTTACTAGGTAAATTATATTATTATGTAATACTGTTATTATAATAATTAAAATTATAACATTTTAACAATTAAAGTAAACAAATGTCTGACCACAGAATTTTGGAGCACATAAAATACTGGCACCCGGGGCAGTTGTACCCAGCGCCCTCTCCTATGCTCTGGGACTTAAATTTTAGGGCCTCAATTACAAAATGTCGAGGGGTGCCCGGGCACACGCAGCAACCCCCGTGCACACGCCTATGATTGTACTATAAGTGTGAAAATAATAATTAATTAAAGGTATTAGTTTTAATTCTAAACATATATAATAAAGTTTGACATTCATATAATAAATTAAAAGTGCGATTATTAAAATCAGTACCAATATATTATAATATTTATTGAATATAATCTAGGTTTATTATAGAATTTATGGTAATTTTTAAAGCAATAATGTGGCTAAAGTAAGTACAACTCCATACCAATGAACCATATAAATAAACTGATTGTATTGAAGCTAAAAAACTAATCTCAAAGTAAGTATATTTATAAAATACATTTCTTATTACATAATTTAATGAATAAATACGTTCCACAAATTTGAGTCTATGATCAAAATCTATAAGTATAAGTTTAAGTATAGGTAAGTACCTAATGTATTTTGCATCATAAACCCTCTCTAAAGGAGTACATTACGTTCATAGGAGTAACTAGACCTTAACACTGGGGGGGCACCAGCCCTAGCATTTTCCAAACCAAAAAAAAAGGTGGGGTGCTCACCCCCTCCCCTCCCCCCAACTCATGTTAAATAAATTGTTAAAATTATAATATTGTTTAATTATTATAGTGTGTTTAACATATTCTATTGTGTATATAAAACAAATTATAAAAAAGTGTTACTGAGGTATATTTAATTAAATGATTAAAATTACTATCAAATATTAATTATTTTAGATCCAAATTCAAGTCTAATTTTTCTTAAATATAAGGGATTTTTAAAGGTAACATTATAATAAATACACTAGTCATTATAGTTCAAGCCTCCGCTCAGTATTAGAAAATGTATTTAAAAATTCTTCTTTATTTAAGACATTAGACAAATATCTTTCGATAGCTAAAAAAACCCCTATGGCAGGCAGGCGTCTAGTCATCGTTACGACGTCACCAGCAATCGTTATCACCATTTTATGGTAAATGTTACAAAAATAAAATTGTGTGTCTTTTCTTCTGAGTTTTGGATAACAAGTGACAACTATGTATGTGTACTTTGTTGTACTATAATTTTTATTTTTTTATCAAGTATTTATGTAGAAAAAATTACACATGATTTTACACAGAATCATTACATACAATAATATAGATGGTCAAAGATGATAGGAATACCGTTCGTAGGAATATAGTTATTATGACAGGGGGGCTACAATCGAAGTTGGGGGAGGGGTCCCTCCCTTGTTAGGCTTATGGTTACGTTTACAAGGTATATTTAAATATTTACAATCATAAGAATGTGTAAAATAAGTTATAAGTATGTACTAAAATTATAAGCATCTACCTACTAATATAGTTAGAAATATTAAAAATCACATAGGTATTTAGATTTACTTAAATTTAATTTTAGATTATTATTGTAACACTATTCCTTCATTAAATCAAGACAAATATTCTCTTCTTTAAATAAATCATTATAATTTTTATTTTTTACAAGCACAACTGTATCATAGGCATAACATGGAATATCAGCATTTAGGTTTAAATTTAAAAGCCTATTGATATAAATAATAAAAAAAAATTGGACTCACAACATAGCCTATTGAGGTAGGTACTGAAATACTCTTTGTATTTTTATCACTAAGAATTCCTTCTAGTTAACAAACTTGTTGGGGCCTATTAATAAAATTTAAAGCATTACCCAATTAATTGTTTGTACATCTTAAAATACTAATAACTTGCTTTAAAATTAAAATATAATAAAATGCCTTCGAGATTGCCTAGAAAATAATATTACCTTTAAATTTTAGTAGGGGTCAATTCACTTTAATTTTTAAACTTATGGAGCTACACATGTTTTGTTGAGCGAGAAATTTGCTATGTTACACACTTGTAAGACGGATATAACAAATGCCGGTGTAACATATTAATATAATACATATTATTTTAAATTGTGAAATCATGGGCTCCCACAAGAACCTGTTTAGTGGGGTCCATAGATTTTCAAAGAAATATACAACAATACAATGTAATACAATGAAATACACCGGTATCAAAATTGTGTCAACCGTTTTTTTTAAGAATAATATTGATTTTGCCAAATCATTTGTAAAATATGAAGATTTTTCAGAAATAAATTATAAATTTCTAAAGGGTTAATTGTATCAAGATTAATAGAATCATTTATATGGCAGTTTTTAATTAATTCTTTCCAACCAACTTTATTATATTTATTTGTTTTTAACTCATCAGAAATAATTTTACCAACTTTAATATAATAATTATTAAATTAATTTTGTTTCATATTTGCCAGTTATAAGAGTATTGGAATCATTTCTAGTCAGGCTTTTTATTGCTGGTTCCATTTTTTTAGTACTGTATAAACTATAAAGCTTTATATATTAATTTCCATGTAGTTTTCATATTTTTATAAGATATAGAAATTAGATTATTATAATATAAACAACGAGCTACTTTATCAACAAGTACAAACAATTTTTGTAATTATTGTAATGTTGGTTTAGCTTCAGATCAAAAGGTGCTTTAACTTTTAGGTTCTGAGTGGAGCAATGAAAATATTGGTTTTACAAAGATGAGTGTTTTTTTAAAAAAATGTTTATCAATTTTTTTTCATTTGTGTCTGTCATCACCTTTCAGGGCAGTAAAAATGCTTGGATATTCTTCAACAGCATCTTTTCTTAAAGGAAAGTGAATATAGTTGGTACTTTGAGAGGTCAATATTTAAAATTCCCAGCAGTTATCAAAAACACCAGGAAAAACAAAAAAAAAAATTAATAATTTTTAAGCAAAATTGGTTTTGACAAAATTAATTTTGGTTTTTGATGGAACTCTAAAACATATGACTGTTGATACATGCAATTTTCACTGAATGTTTATATTAGTATTTTCTATTCACCATACAATTTATAAAAAATTGACTTGTTTATAGATGTTTAAAGAGTAAGGATATTATTGAGTTTCAAATTTTTTTTATAATTTTTTTCTATAAATCTCAATAAAATTGTATTCATTTGGTCAAAAAGCTTTAAAATAAATATAATAGAATATAATTAAAAATATTATTTGTGGGTAGGTACTTGAAATTTCCCAAGTATAATATTATATACAAATATTGAAACATGAGAATATGCATATAATTAATTTAACTTATTGACTACCATATTTTAATAATAACAATATAAATATAATATAAAATATCCTATGCTGGCAATCTGACTCTGCTCAGAATCGTTTTTAGTATACAATGTTATTATATCATTGAATTCAAAGTTAACATCATCCATAACAGTGACCCACTTGCAACCTAATTTACAGTAATGCAATCACTTACCCGCTTTTTTAAATATGTTTTTGTCTATTTGTAATTGAAATAAGAAGTCTTTTAATAATAATATTTAGCTCATTCACCTTATCTCTGATCCCTCTTTTAAAATTTGCTATGCAACTGCCACGTCCAAGTATAAATGATGGAGTTCCTCAAGGAGGTATTTTATCTCCATTACTATACAATATCTTTGTCTCTGACCAACCACATCACCTAACACCTCAGTCGAGAATTATGCGGATGATAAAGTGACTATCTCGATTAACGATGACCCATCCTTGGCCTAATTATATTTTCAAACCCATCTAGGCCTGGTGGAAAGATGGTATACCAAATGGAAATTTAAAGTAAATCAAAATAAATCAGTACACACTACTTTTCCACTAAGGCAAGCACCTTGCCAAAATGTACTACTTTATGGCATCCCTATCCCAATCCAACACTCAATCAACGCTTAACCTAGGCTCAACATCTACATGAAAAAAGACTATCCCTAAATAATCGACTACTTATGCTTAAGCATTTAATTGATAACAAAGCCACCCCTATTAATATCAAACTCCTCTCGTGTGCAAAACCTTATTAAAACCCATCTGGACATACAGATTACAGGTATGGGGAAATGCTAAAAAGTTTAATCTGAATAAAATACAAGCTTTCCAAAATATGATTTTAGTTAACACCCCTCCATATATATCAAACCATACCCTACATATAGATTGTAACTAAAAAACTAGTCATGACGAAGCTAAAAGTTTTTATAAAAAATTTCATAACTGTCTATCTTCCCATTCAAAATTCAAATCCTCTCATCAAGAACTTATCATTCCTCACAATCCCAGGTAGGTAACCCCCCAAGGTGGTTCAAACGTAAATGGTGCAGAGATTTATTACTTGAAATATAAAAAAAAAATAACTCATATAATTAAATCACATAAGATTTAAACCAAGTCGAAAGTGTCATCAGTTTGTGGCTTCTTTCCTCAAATTATGTAAATCATATTATTTGTTTCCCTTTTATCGCACATGCACTCATTTGTCTTATTCACTCATTATAATACATATATTCTTCTAAACAAAAAAAAAAAAAAAAGCATATTCACAACAACTACAAAATAAGCAGATGCAAACAAAATCAACAAAAATAAAATCCTTTTTGCTGCTAAAAATTTAACAGTACATTTTTACATACAGTAGTGGTTGAAAAATTACCCAAGTTTGAAGATATAGAATTTTTGGTTGAACTTGGCGATTGAGCAATCATACGCATGATTTCGAGTTTGGTAGGGGATGGTATATAGCCCAGATCAGAGCCTTCTTTCACCAGACGACCAATCCACCAGTTGTTATCATACTTTTCCTGAAACGATTAAAGAATAAAAATTAACATTGATTATAATATAAAGGCTGAAATACCAGCTTACTACTTAGATGTTATTTTACTACTTACATTACAAAAAGCATTAGATTTAGTCTTAAAGAATGAAACTATAAAAGGTAAATGTATATTTATAATAATAATAGTTTAATTAAAAATCTAAATCCTAAATAGCAACAGGAGTACAATTTCTAATACACAAAAATGAAATACCTATGTTTACTGTAAAGAGTACTCATATTTCTTGACTTAAAAAATATCTATATTTTTCACTATTATTTATTAAATAATCATGATATATTTTTTTTATTAGTGTTGGGTATATTAATTTTAAAAATTAATTAAATTACTTAACTTGATATTCAATACAATTTTTAATACAATTGTACCTAATGTATTAATATACAATATACAATTACTTACAACTTCAACAAGAAAAGTAATAGAAAACTTATTTGCCATCCCTGACCTAACGCATTACAATAATGCATTACTCTCGTTATGTTATAACCGAACACTGTTTTTAGATTACCTATACATTTATATGGTGTATGAAGGTATCTACTCAACAAATTGAATAGACACATTTTAAAGTTATTTTTAAAATATCCTTATAATTGATTTTTAAGAAAAAAAAAATGGTGACATTTAAAACATCTGTCTTAAATAAATTATTTTGACCGTTTTAACTCAAAAAATAATAATTCTGTTAAATCAACAATCATCAACTTGAGACATTAATGATTAATATTTAAATTTTGTCTTTATAAATTAATAACTATAAAAAAAAGTTATAATCATTCATTCAATATATCCTTTAAATAAGTACCTATATTATTTAGACAACATTGAATATATTTAATCAGGGAAAGTTTAAATTAATATATAAATTGTTATTAATGTTAGGTACTTACCTGGTGCTAAGCATCCAATATTTTTACATTAAGTATTAGATACTTGTATAGTGTATATATATAAAAATACTAAACTAAAGTACTGTATAAATAATGTGCTATACCTATGATCTAATTATCTAAATTCAGACTATAAAATCTATCAATGTTCATTAATTCCCAGCAGTCTTATATATTCCAAGAATAAAAATGTTAGAAAAGTAAAAGTGTTATAATACTGAAATTATTATTAATTCTAAACTACTTAATAAAAATATTCAAATGTCACCTTATTGAAACTTTATCTTCAAAATTGTTTAAGTAAATTTCAAACTTTTAATTCATAAGGACCATAAGGTTATACTTTTGTGTATTAAAATGCTGCTGTTCTGTTGTTCCTCTTGAGAAAAAATAATTCCAAATAAGTATTATAATTCATACTAATAAATTATAATTAATACTTAATAGTTAATTATATATGACTAGAAAAGTAAGGGAAAAAATGTTTAAAGTTGAAAATATTACAATACTAAGATAATGACATTTCAAACATTGGGCAACCTATCTGATTTCCAAAATCAGATTTGTTATACCGATAAAACTTATCTTTGGTATGTACCTAATACTAATTATATTTGATATAGATAGACTTCATATTTGGTCAGAAAATGCATATTTAAAGGTATACCAATGTATATTGTATATACCTATATATAAATAAGTTTTTGTAAAATTGTATACATTTTTAAGTGTAGAAGAACACCAGATTAAATGTTTAGTCGTTTAAAGTTCCATCAGTCCTCAAGAAAAATAAATTATTAAAATAACATAATAACTATATATGATATAAATATTATAAAATGAAATAGTAGCAATACCTATTGTGAAATATATACATACATATATAAAATATATATATGAAATATCAATAAATATAAAGTATAAACATTTCCCATTTTTAAAAACTATTTACTATTCACCCCAGTTACATATTTAGGGGGAAGGGCATGCTTGGGAGCTGAAGCACCCACCATTTCACATATTGAACTTTTTTTTTATATAAATTACTTAGATATCAGGTATTACGTAGAACTAAACATCTGACTAACCGTGTTAATTGTAGTCTACTAGGTATCAAAAAATAGGTTAAATTTGTTTTTACCCGAAGTTGTTCACGAAAAGTACCTAAGAAATTATAATGTATTACCTATGTCATGTTTCGTATTAAGACAATAATTTAAATTGTAAAAGTTAATTTAACAGCAAATTACTTTATCCCACATAAGTAATTCATAAATCAATTACACGGTAGATAGGTATACTGTGTATAATATATTTGTTTTATCATCTAACATTTCATTAGTCCTAGAATTATAGTAAATAATAGAAAATATCAAATAGGTAACTAAGAACATAATATATTATAGGTACCTTGATATGTAAAAATTCTTGAGCCTTAAATGAGATTGCATGACCTTGTAATGGACAGTCATCATCCAAATTGCCATCATATGCGACATTTGTGCGTATAGCAAATGCCACAGGTTTTGTCTACAATAAAAACGAAAATATATTTAATAAGATCTTAGTATCGAAAATTAATCACAATCTTGACACAAATAGAGTATAGACAATATTAGGTATATGTTTGTAATTGAATTGTCAAAAAGTATAGACTAGCATTGCAGCGTTCATAATGGCGCATTGCTTCGACGACCAGTACGGTCTGAAATCTAAATTATGTATACATAGAATTGCGTACCGCCGGGCAGGTGCGACGCAATCTCAAAGGTGGTTTCTGGTCTACACTGCCTACAGAATTAAAGGCACCGGACATCTTTGGTGCTTGAGATTGTCGAGTGTTGATGGTATTATGGTAATGTACTACGCAGTTTGGACTATGGATCGATTGAAATATTATGTATATATCAACTTCGGGACAAATGAAACGTTTCGGTGAATCACTGGCGGTCGGCGGATCGTTTATTCAACCCGTGGTGGTTCTCCTGATCCCAATTTTACAACAGCGTTATAACTTGTAAGCTCCCTGATTACCTTGTTATCACATCAACAACGAACGTTGTGATAAAGGTGCGATCACGACTGTCCACTGATCAGCATAATTCAGGATTCAGCACGGACTAAATTATATTAATATACCTAGTCCGCGATACTTAGTAATCAGAATTTAGGATATTATGATTTAACTATTTAAGATTTATATAATTATGCATGTCTATATTGTACAACGTAATAAACGTATAGCTGTGCAATGTTTTATGGGTTTTTACCTTTCCGGCTACGGTGTTCAGAGCAAGACCAACTAGGACTCAGGACTCAAATCGGAAGTCGCCACTTGCCAGTCACTTCAAAAAGTATTTTAATAAATATGTATTTTTTTTAGTTATAGACACATATTGATGTTTCATTTACACTCTTTAACTATTTAAAATCTTGGCTCTCCATCATGTGCATTAATCTAATATTATTTATTCGTACACTCTTGAAATATGTTCTCTGGGTGACACTTGTGTTGTATAGCATAAAGGATTAGGGTCATCGGCCTTAATAATAATATGTAGGATCTGCTATTCCTAAAATGTTTATCTAAAATGTAAAGACCACGTAATACGTCTACACAAGACTGGACACTATGGACTGGGGGTGGGTAGAAGGACGGCCACAATGAAGTGTACGGCACTAGTATACACGTGAGACGCAACATTAGTTATTAACCTATTAATAAAAACACATTTAACATGGGAATTAGGAAGTTTATAGGTATATTGTGTATGAATCTTGAACACAACCGTAGTTCATGTTACTAACAAGTAGAGTGCAGTTACATCGCATGTGTACGAACCCCGTACAACTTTGTAGGCATGTTCGTAATGTCTGCACTCATCTGTCTAGTCCTGCACTCCTGTGTAGTCAATAGCACGGACTAAGATATAATGGACTGGAAACGACAAGGTGGGCGGGTGACGGGGGACGGCCCGCAAAAGGTGTCTCTGTTATCATCAACACTCATAATCGAATGTTTTCAGCGCTACCAGTGGTTTTATTTTGCGTCACATTTTGTATCTCAGTCCATGTTTTATACAGAGGGCGCTGTAAACTCTCGATTATGGTTGCGACCCCCCGCATTTGCTTCTTGTACATACTTTCGAGGCCACTGATAAGCTGCTCGTTTCCAGTCCATTATATCTTAGTCCGTGGTCAATAGTCATAGACAAAGAAAATAATAGATAAGCAACTCGCCCGGTTTATTGGTTCTGCGATTTTAGCGCTATGGTGGCTATCTCCCGAACTATTGTCAGAAATGAAAATGAAAACCTTCAGTTCGCCATCGATATTATTAAATGAAATTTTAACAAAATAACGCCATACCGCTTTGGACTTATGAAATTATGACACTATTATAAAAATTATAATATAATAAATATATAATATTATAAAAATTAAGAACCGTCTACTAGCGCTTTTGTGTTAATCTCCACAACTACTTTTAAAGAACGGTTTTCAATAGGTATAAGTTCATACCCCCTGTGTGTAGTAGTTTGAGGTAAAAACCATAGATTCATACCTACACGAAATGCGTATTATGTATAATTTTCATTTATGTAAAATGGGCCCATGCGGGACCCGCCATCGTATTCCGATTTGATTTTCAACATTAATATTAATGATGATGATAAAAATTAAAAATGTTCATAGATAACATAACATTTCATCATGTTTTCCCTTGACTCGGAATGCATATTATGGCGAACTGCTATCAGGACCATATTTTGATTAATATACGCGTCCCATGTATTTAGTAATAATAATAACATTTTTAGAAAAAGATAGCATACACCAGACATCTTAGGTCCTATTATATTATAAAAGTATTGACTATCTATTTCTAATAAATAATAATGTTGGCACGCCTTGGCAACCTATAATCACAGAACAATATAGAAGCGAAACTCGATCAGTTGAAAAGGGGTATTGGTTACCTATGATCTGAAGTCTGAACCTACGAAAAACATGGAATTGGTTCCCGCACCAACATGATGTTAGACCCGTGGTTACCAATATTATGAAATCGGTTCCAAGACTATGGCGGGATACGGGACGCGGGGTCGGCTTGTTTACCATTCCCTATTTCACGTATGCCACGCCCTCCTGAAGACCGTGTTCAAGGCCGCAATCGCCTGGTTTGGCCAACGCACGGAGTTTCGTACCCCTGCTATAATATGCTTTTAACATAACTAGCTGTCCCACCCGGCGTAGCCCGGGCAAAAGTTACTTCAGGTGAAGTACATTAGCAATATTATTAATTATAAGTATAAATTCAAGGACTCAAAAATGCTTTAATTGTAAATATATTATAGCTGATCACATTTACTTCGTTGCTCGTTAAAATGTGTGGCAACTCTATATAATATATGATTCAAACTTTGTTCAATTCGTTTAAACTCAAAAAAGTTCATCTATCATCTTGAATATATAATTACTCGAGAGACACGCTTGTATGTTTTGTATGCGTGAGACACGCAGTATGTTTTCTGGTAGACCCCTCGAAGTGCGTACGTAATTATGAATGTTTTATTAACAGTTATAACACGTTGATATTAAGATGTGCATGTGTCCAAAAATTAATCTTGAGAATACCTTTTTTACTAAGCTATCTGCTTTTTAGCTACAGGTCTAAAATTATTTTAATTATTTAATCATGAGTCATGACCAATAGGAAATAGCAACCTTAGAATAAACAAAAATATATTATTATTTAGTTTTTTTTCTTACTGAACGGATGGCACCTACATCCAGATTTCCTACTTTTCTGGTGGATTTTGTTAAAATGATCTTACTTCAGAGTTAAGAACCTTCTCCTGACAATTACGAATATAACAAAAAAAGAATTAGCGAAATCGGCCCAGCCGTTCACGCGTGATGCCGCGTCCAAAGAAATATACATATATTAAATTTATATTGTATATAGATAGATACATAAAGTATAATATAGACAGGTTGTTGAATTTTACTTTTCGGAACAATTATTCATATCTACTCTCCGATAAAACCCACACAAAAGAAAAAAGGTCAGGTTACAGGTAGCTAGAAACCCGAGGGCCACCGTGCTGCACAATAGGTATAATAATATATATATATGTATACAATTTACACGTTTATTTTAATTAATAATAAGTAAAAACTAATTATTTATTAACTTTATCGGACTAAATTTATGCCTAAAACCTTCTCTGTGATGTCCTCTTTAATTAAAAAAAAACTGCACGCCGATTGAATAAGTAGTTTTTTAGTTTATCCTGAACAAAAAGAAGCAACTTAATTTTATATAGTAGTACAGATACAGATATGCAATAATGAAACTAATGAAACTAATCCATCCAAAGAACTATACTAATTAATTGGAGTATCAGAGATATATTAAATTTGTTATTATTTTATTATCTATTTATAGGACTTTAAATTAAAAAAAAAAAATAGAAAATTATTTCTAAGAATACCTTCGCCTAAACGATGTACTTATCCAATTTATTGCCGGGTCCACACCATAGATATATACAACAAATAGATAGCTGTCTTTATACTACAGTTAACAGTTATTGTGATAGATTTTGAAGTCAGCTGCCATCATTTATAAAACAGGCAATGTTAATTATTTATTTTAAATTTATTCAAATACACAATATAAACTTATATATACATAATAAGGTACTATGATAATACTGTTTTGTAAACATTGTCTTGGTAAATGACAGTCAACTTTTTGTATATGGCCCACCACAACTTCATTACTAATAAGGAGACGGCTATATAGTTGTTGCATATATCTATCATATATGGTCCACACAGCCACTCAGTACAATAAATCAAAACATAAACTGAAGTAATCCCAACAAATATTTATTTTTTCTAGGAACAATTTAAATTGTTTTTAAAAGTAGAAACAAAACAATTACCAGATTCTATGTGGACCCAGCATTACATAGACCTAAATAATTAATATAATAAACCATAAAGATATACAGGATACGGAACGAACGATGATTGTAAGGTAATTCAAGCTTAAGCGCAATCAGTGTTAACAAAAAGTACAATAAAAATAGTATTGTAGGTATTTTAAAAGTATCAGACTTATCACATTTACTATCAGTTATCACAAAAAACAGACTATTTATCACGGACTAAAATATACAGGACATATACACGACAAGGTTGGAGGGTGGGGGGGGGGTTGACCACGAAATGTAGTACAACAAGCGGAGTTCGGGGGAATATTTTCCTTTTAGCATTACTAGCGCTGTCTTAGTGGCTATTTATGGAACTAGACCTTTATATGATGTGTTCTAGTTCCATAGGTGTAAACTAAGATAGTAATGCTAAAAGGAAAATATCCCTTCGAACTCCGCCTGTTGTACTACATTTTGTAACCACAATATTCATCTCGTGTCCAGTCCTGTATATCTTAGTCCGTGCTATATATCGCAGTTTATATTAAAACCAGATAGGGCACTTCTGAATTTTACTGGTAACTACAACCTACCTCAATCACAGAATAGAATAATGCCTCAATGCAGTAGAATCACATATGAGAAAAAAAAATTGGAAAACACCTTGTCTATAATTCTTGTACCAAATAATATGACAATGGTTAGGGATTTGAAATGAGTGCTAAATATCATGTGATGCATAGTCAATAATCAATAACTTTTCATAAAAACTCTTTTTCTCTATTAGTGGTGATACTAATTTTAAGTAGGTTTTGATCATAGATATATTGTTGAATATATCTATGGTTTTGATTTCTTTAAACTTTTATTACATGGCTTCAATAGTAAGTGCACTATCTGGTTTTATATAATCTGCGAACGTGGCCACGGATGTAGGTACAAGCGGCAACCCCGTACTTATCAATAGGCCCAGAGCAAGGTTTACAGAGCCATAATGTATAAAACATGGATCAAGCTACAAAATGTGAAGCCAAATAAAACCACCGGTAACGCTGAAAACATTGGGTCCCCACTCCCCAGTGTGAGGGACCTTTTGGTGGCCGTCCCACGACCCCCGCCGACCATGTCGTTTCCAGTCCATTATATCTTAGTCAATGTCATAAACAAACAAAAAAAAATCAATACATTTTGATGCGCGGCTACACTGATTGCACTTTAGCTCTTATCACGGTTTTTGGAGGGTGTCGATTCCGAATTCACCTTAGAATCTTAAATAATAATATACAGTGGAGCTACATGACGTGTATTGCTCGTATACCGAGACGTTACTAACTACGGATATAACGTTGCGTTATAGTTTGTGCTTTATATTTGTGATGCCAACCACAATTTCAGATAATATACTGGCTCCACAACGAATTATGATAAGAAGATCGTCAAACTGAGTCTCCAAAACAGCTCTGGACCCACAACTGACTGGTAACATTTAGGTATCTAGAGACATAATGTGTTAATCCGATATGATATATGGTTATATCTTATTTACGAGCATATTATGTCATACGACAGAAGTACTGTATAAAATTATTCTCTTTAATGATCTTGCGAGTGCGTGCGAAATCCCTCCGTACCATAAATGCAAATATTAAATAATACCCCAGACAACTGCATCAAGCCGTCGCGTTCCTAGAAAAATCAGATGCGAGTTACTACTACTAAAGATAATTTACGAATAATACAACCAGGTCGAATGTTTTGTAAATGGCCTATTAAATGTTCCTTAGAATCCAGTTCTATGGAGGCCCCTTAAAACAGTTTATTGATAACTATAAACAGCTAGTAGCTAGTAGGTATAATAGTTGAAATGAATAATGATTAAATATAAATGATATATATTTATACTTGTCCGAAAAGTGATAAGGACCCGAGAAATTATAAGGTCTGAAATTCAAAAAAGTAGTACCAACTAATTAAATCGAAATTACCTAATTAATTACATAATATTAAATTATATAATTTGAGTGATAAGTTGTTGTCCGAAAAATGATAAGGACAGATAAGAGTGGTTGTATGGTGGTTAGCCTGTGGTTACCCTATGACCAACTTGACGTGGTGTTGCACAGCTGCAAGTCGGGGGATATTTTCGATTTGCGGAGCGGAGCGACGGCGCCGAGGAGCGTAGCGACGAGTGCCGCTAGCATGGCATCACTGTACGATGTTTTTTTTTATTATTTTTTTTTATAAGCTACTTATCATTTTTCGGACAACTTACTGCCCCCAACTCTTTATTTTATTTCATAGTTGTTTATACGAAATACATCAATTATATGAGTTATAGTATAAACAACTATGAAATAAAATAAATAGGTACAAAATAACAATATTATAATCATAAGATTATATAAAAATTATACAGGTAGCGCTACCTAGGAATAAAATAAAACAGCGTTCACGGGCACATCGTTTTTTGGAGTGAACGTTGAACAGTTCAATATTATGCCGGTAGATGGCGTTTCTAGTACCATTAAAATCGTAGAGTTAGACTTGCTCCACTATGATCCAAACAATGAAACAATTCAATAATTGATTATTAACGACTTCTACTGAATGAGCGGCGTTTTCAAACATTGCTGGGTTAAGAGGGGGAGTGTGTAGTTGCCCGGGGCGGCAAATTCATAACATTGAAAACGAAAATTTTTAATTTCTCTAATGTATTTTAATTTTTAGGAAGAATTATTATTATTCTTTGAAAACTGTGTGAACACAGTGGCGTATATACAAATTATTTTCACTATCGACCAATTTTGGCAATTTATCACTATTGAAGCAAATCACGACTAACATAGCCATAACTATACACATTTAGGAGAGCTGGGTGGTTATAATTATGACATATTATACAAAACGAATAAAAAGTGCTCAATTTAATTTTTGACGTGATAACGTCTTATAAATTGATGGAGCCGGCTGCACGCACGAAAAAATGTGCCGTTACCCACTTACCTCGCTGTGAGGCGTTCCATTAGTGTTGCCAGGTTTGGGAAGAGGGATGATCGTACCGCGTCTTCAAAATTATCGTACATTGGTGGGGGATCGTACAGGGAGCAATATTATCGTATGTCCCCACTAGGATCGTACCATCTGGTAACACTGCGGTTCCATTCGCGTAGGCTACCCAACATCGGTCGTCACGCGCGTAGTAGAGACCGTCGGGCGGAGTGGGGGGGACCCATTAAACGAGTAATTATTTTTGACGAAGCATAACTTAGCCGGTATTCGACTTAGAGACCCCGGACCAATGGGCATCTCAATTTTTTAGGCCCCAGATGAATTTTCAACATTAGGGAACCAAAGCCCCCACCCCCCACATTTTGAGTTGAGTGTAACTCGGCCGGATTTCAAGTTAAAGACCTCGGACCAAGGGGGTACCCATTCTTATTGGTAACCGGCTAATTCGGCGAAATCTATTTCGGCGAAAGACATTTCGGCGAATCTTTTTCGGCGAATGGATATACCGGCGAACGGTTATATCGGCGAATGGACGTATCGGCGAACGAATATATTGGCGAAACCACAATACCTAACCGGAAATTTACAAATTTAAATTCCATATTATATAAATAATAATTAAATAAAAAGAGACGTTCTAGGACCATATATACTTATAATAATTACTTTGTAAAAATGTATAATATTAATTCAATAATTTAGTCAATAAAAATAATATAAATAATATTGTAATAAAAATAATACTAAAAATTTAAAAGTCAATATTGTATGCCAAACTTTTTAAATATGGTATAATGTCTTGGTTTGAATAATTTGTCACCTTTGTTTTTATATTTTCTGTGGTTCTTTTCCATTTTAATTTCTGTTTTTCTTCTTTGCCAGCCTCAATGTGTGCCACTTTTAATTTAGCTAGCCCGACCTCCCTTTGTAGGCCTTCAAACATCTTCCAAATTGATACATGATGACCACCGACTTGCTTTTGAAAGCCATTATGCCATCCTTCCAAACCATTATTGGTACGAGCTAGTCCATGTATGGCAGCTTCGTAGAGATTCCACAATTTTGGCGTTCGTCTTGTCCGTCTCATGGGCCGTGATTAAACCCGTGACCACGAAATCCCCACCGATAACTAATTTTTTTTTTTTATTAAAATAGAAAATGTACACAATTGTGTAGCAAAATATGTACAATAAGCAAATAGGAAAAGTGATGGAGAATAGTTGTTGGTTAGGAATTTATTGACGTATTAAATTAGAAACAAACTCTGTGTTACGTATATTTAAATATTTGTGTTTAATGTAATTTCGCCGATATATTCGTTCGCCGATACATCCATTCGCCGATATACCCATTCGCCGAAAAAGTTTCGCCGAAATCTCTTTCACCGAAATTACTTTCGCCGAGATATCCTATAACCATTCTTATTATGAAGACTACCGTTTTCCGCTTTAGGGAACGGGGGCACCTCCTTCCCCCTTTTGGATTTTGCTTTTTTGATGGATTTTGGTCCGGGAGAGTACTAACACCCACCTCGCCAAGGGGAAACTCAGGGTTTTGAGTTTTTGATAGGATTTATTGGGATTTTCTTAAATATTGTTTTTATTGATAAGGAAAGTGATAAGAATTTTATTTTCAAAATAATTTTTGCCCCTTAAATTTATAAATTTATAAATTCCATTGTGATTTCCATTTACCTCCTTCTCTATGTACATACAAATCTATTAAACAAATGAAATTAAAATTTATTTTTGAAAAATGCTACCATTCCTTCAGTATTTTCTTAACACGTTGTCACGTTCAACTATCGTCAGTAAACCGACTTTACAGACAACCGATTTTTTTAATTCTTTTTTAAAAAATATTGACAATTTCAAATAGAATAGTATTATAGATATTATAGATCGACAGAGAAAAAATTAGGAAAAAATACAGCAATATAAAGCAGGAACAATTAATCGGTATGGTTTTATTAAATCAATGTCATTTAACTATTCTATATAATATTTATTGGATTTTATATAATACTACAATACTAACAAATATATAATAATATTTTGACGATTTATATTTTTGATAAAAACTTACTTACATTATATAAAAATTATATAAATTTGTACAAACACAATACATTTTTGGAGAGTAATAGAAGCCTCCTCCTCGTGGTACACTCTGGGTAATGCTAAATGGCTTTATAAAACTAATTTACACAAAAAAATAATTTAAATATGACAATTAATTTATTATTGAGTTAGACATAAATAATTTAAAGTAAGTGTTTGCCAAAGTGTGTATTATAAAAATGTGGCTGATTAATGCTACCTATATAATATTCTTGGGCAAAAAGGGAAAGTATTTTTAAAATATTTGGGAGAAAAGAGAAGTGGGCGAAAAGCGAAAGGTCATTTTTGGGCTAAAAGATTACTACCCCTTAGTGGTTCACTCTAATGATCTAGATACGCAATAAGAAAGGAGATTCTGATTTTCGCTTTTTAAAGAAGTAGTAAAACAGGGATCTTAAGATTCATGGTGGATATCGAAACTTTTTTTTGTTTATATTAATGGTTGCCTTTGGATGCAAGTTATATAATATGCGAATATTATTACCCAGAGCTAGGTATAATTATGCCGGTTCGTCCATTCAAATAAATAAAATAACCCCCCAAAATATATTTATAAATATTAAATACTCCTAAAAATTCTGGTTGATCTCAACTGTGACTTCAATACTATTTTAGGTACACTGTATACACATTTTGTTTCAACTACAAAGCTGTACTAATATAGGCTATATTTTATCTCCCTACTCACTGTGTCCGCAATCTACCTGATAATATTATACTGTTCGCATAACCATAAGCGAAACTCATGGGCAACGCCACGTGGGGTGGCTAAACATTTTAATATAATATGATTTTGCTTTCATACCTATGCAGAGCGAATTACACCCAAAAGGAGTTAATTAATCACAATTTTTTTTCAAGGGCAATACAGGGATATTCAGCTAATACTAATATAATAGTAATAATATTAATATTAATAAATAATAACAATAATATAATATTAAAAATAATAATAATAATAATTTCTTTAAATGATGCGATCAACTTTTATAGCAAAGGATTGAAAGTTTAAAACAAGGTTCCATGTAAATAGTTTATATATAAATTACTTTAGTCACAATAATATCATCAAATATACTTAGTAATATCATAGACTGACTGACCGTCTTCGCTCAGAATCTTTTTTCTTATAGGTACAATGGAATTATTATATCATTGAATTCAAATTTCATTCCATCAGTGACCCACTTGAAACATACTGTACAGCAGAGTGACATCCACTTAACCACCTGTTTTCTCGGTGTTTTCTAGCGAAACTCATCAATTTATATCGCCTACCACAGAATTATCACCTGAGTTCAGTGTATTATTATTTATTAGTAAAATAGAAATACCATATTATTATTATAGCACTCTGACCAACGCATATCTATTTTTGTTCATATTATAGTATTATTTTAGAGTATAAATATTGTAAACAATATGTTTACGGCAGTAAACATAGTAGTGTTTGTTTTATACCCGTATGGCCGTATGGCTATATTATTGTAGTTATTATAACTATCAGATTTGAGATTATTACAGTTTCATATTATAATTTATTTGTACACTAGGTACCAATCAACTGTTCTTATTATACCATCCCGCATAAGTATAAACACATTTAAAAACAGATCTTCTCAACCCCTGAAAGGGTATAGTCCCATTATATTGTAATTTGTAATCTTGTACCCAAGTCCCAAACCTTAATGTTTCACTGTTGACATATTTTTTCGAACCATGCAGATTTGAGTTTTGAGATTAATTGTATCGATAAGAAAATCATCATGTCCTTAAAAATAAATAAAGTAATTAATTGCAATAAATAAAAATCATAGTTACTAAATAATAAATATATATAAAATATAAATAACAATAATAATAGTAATAGTTTTAGTTAGGTGACTGCGTTTCGGAGCTTGTCGAGTCGTACCGTTCGACGCCTTCGACAGGACGCCGCGATGGTGTTGCAGCCGGATGACGCTGGACGCCCTCATAAGTAACGGACGCCCTGTAGCCGGTGGCTGGGCTAACGGTGTATTTGACGGTCTGCGTCCGGCCGTCCGGTAACCGAACCCGGTACATTCCGGTCACGATACCGGTACGACCGGGTTCGCGACGTTCCCATTGGCCGAAATCCATCCCCACGTTCTCGTCCAATACGGTGTACCCGAAACCGTAACCGCCTTGTTCGACCTGTTCCAGTTCTTCTTCTGCCGTGAGGTCATCCTCATCGCCGTCTATTACGTCTTGCTCTATACCATGCGCTAGTGAAGTTGTCACCGATGGTTGTATATCGCTAAGTGTCGTGATAAGTCCACGATCGTTGAGATTCTAAAGAAAATCCAATTAAACACACGTTATATTTTTAGAATTAGTAGGTAAAATCATATTTTTCAAGTTATAGGTAGCTAGTTTTTCAATGAGGTGCAAACCTCTGCCCCCCCTCCCAATCGTTTTTAACAAAATCATTCGTTTCAATTTTTAATGTTAAAAATTCCAAAAAGTTGGTTACAAAATATTTACATTTTACAAACTAAAAACTAAGGTTAGGTACAACTATTTTGTATAGAAGTGGACTTATGAGGGTAACTCATGGGCTAACTTCACATACTTGAGTTTACTGTGTAATGAGTTCAAATATCATATGAGTGTCTATCTATTTTTTAACTTCACAGTTCACACTCGTATATACTTCGAAAGGTACTACTTTATAAAGGTATTTTTTTTACTCAAAATTTACATTTTATAATTTTTTTATAACTGAACAAGTTTTTATGACAATAAGTACAAATTACCAACTATAAGAAATCAGGTACAAAATTATAGTATATCTGTAGGTATATGTATTTGCCGTATTGGCTATTGATAATATTCAGTATGCACTACTAATTTACCACCATTATATTATAGTCCTCGTAGGTGGTGTAGAATTTGGAAAAATAGTATGATACGTAAATTAAGGGTAGAAATTTGAGGACAATCGCTTGGTTGTATTTTTACTAGGATGAAGACACTAAGATTGAAGATTGAAGTTTGGAAAACTTTATTTTTTATTTTAATTATATTTTTACTAAAAGGGTTACTAAAAGTAGGTTAATAATTAGTAAATTTTAAATTTGATATATCTTGTCAAAATTCCAACTTTAAATGTTTATAAAAAAAAATTGTGCCAATCTAATTGTAATATTTTTCAACTGCTATTGTATAACAATATATCAGGAGACTTGCATTGAATGTTCACGCTTTTTACCCAACAAATAAAATTTTATTGATATTTATAGGAAAAAAAAACTAAAAAAATTTAAAACTGACAATGTTCGTAATAAACAGCTCAAAGAGAGTCAAATTCTTACAATATTGGATATTCACTCGATTTCTTTATTTTTTGTAATTCAAAAACGAATAACTGTAGATACATGAAAATTTCACTGAATATTTATATTAGCATTTCCTATATACACAATAAAATTTTGAAAATACTTTGACTCTTTTTGAGCTGTTTACGGACAATTACAGTTTTCAATTTTTTTGGTTTTTTTTTGTCTATAAATATCAATAAAGTTTTATCTGTTGGGCCAAAAAGTGTAAAAATTGAGTACAAGGCTCCTGATATATTGTTACAATATCAGTTGAAAAATATTAAAAATACATAACCACAATTTTTTTTATAAGCACTTAAAGATCGAATTTTGACAAAATGTATCAAATTTAAAATTGAATAATTATTTTTTAGTTAAAAATGTTTAAAATGTTCAACTTTTATATCTAAGGATTGAAAATTCAAAACAAGATTTCACAGAAGTAGTTAATTCTGTTACGATAAAATTTGGACGAAATTACATAATAAAAAACCTAGAATAACTATTTGAGTTATTTTGTTGTGATTGTATAATATTATTCGTAGGTACTTGAAACTTCTAAAGTATACTACTATATAATATAATATATCTATGATAGTATCAGGGTTTGTTATTGGTGTACCTAA